AGTCTCTGCGAAGCTTTGTTCGAAAAACTAATTTTTTTTGTAGACAATAAGCCTCCTCAGGCAACGTCTTCTGTTCCGCGGAATTCTTTATAATTGTTAAAAAACTAATGACAGATTTTATTAATGCTAAATTCTGATGAAATATTAAAATCTATGTGGTTTTCTTTCTATATAGCTTATGAACTTAAATATCAACGGTCATGATCGTTTTCATGAAGCAAATCCAAATCGAGTTTTAAATAATCCTATGTTATATGCTCAACGTCAACAACTACAGCAGCAGCAGCAACAACAACAACAACATCAACAACGTGAAACATCCATGCGTTCAATGGCAATAGGTGAAATGTTGGAGCGAGCTCGTTTAGCTGCTGCAAATGCAACAAATTCCAATAATTCACGTTCTCAATCACCATCTGTTGGTAATACAGGAATGTCATCACAATTTCTGGATGCCATTCAACGTTCGGATCAAATACCTATTGTTGATAATCATCAACAACATCGTACAGCTGAATCTCCATCATCACCACTTGATACTATTGTTAGTCCATCATCATCATCACGTCATTCAAGACAAAATCGTCCAGCAAAACATTATCCTCGGCCACCACTTCTTAATACATGGCAAGGACGTGGTCCTGGTTATGATGAATTTGCTGGTATGATGACTGATCGTGAAAAACAATGGGTCGTAAAAATTCAACTTCATCAAGTATCACAAACACAAGAAGAAGTATGACAAGATATATTGTTTATAAACAAAAACGAAATTTATTGATTATTTTTCTCTTCATAGGATTATTATTTTCATAAATGGTCACAACAAAAACGTCATTTGCAACAGGTACATGGTAATCAATCAAATCGTCATGAACATCGAGGACAATATATTAGTTATCCAGTATTACAATTATTAAAATCAATTCAACAAGAAAAAGAGTAAATATTCATATAGTAAAAAATATACTCTTGTTTAATTTGTTGTTGTTAGACTTGCACAACGCTTATCTCAATCATCAATTCAAGCAACATTTAGTAACGTTAATCCAGCACATGCATTACCATATGCATCACCAATACCAACACAACTTGGTAAACAATCAAATGCAACTCCACGACATCCAAAATGTATTCTCGATCTTGATGGTATGTTTTTAACTATAAATATATTTCAGGAATTCTAAAACAAAAGAATGAGAATCTACGGAGAATAAATAAATCCTGTTTGTTGAATATCTTTCGAAAACATTATGATATAGAATTAAAAACTACATGCGATGGGAATGCATTTCATCCGAGATCGATTTTGGAAGAAAAGACTCTATAAGGTGTACAATGACTTAAGTGATTTGCTATAACGACAGTAAATTGAATAAAGATGTTTTCATTTCGCGTTTATCTGTATACTGAAGGTTTTCTAAAAATGACTTGTTCAATGTAGTCAGTGTACACACTTTAACTCAGCTATAAACTAGATAAAATTTTCATAGATTGTTTGTTTTTCTGTCTGACATGTCTATTCAGTTAGCATCAGTGCTTGTGGAGTAAGATATAAGTTTTCTAAAAAACTTAGGTTTTAAAGATTTTTTTCTATTCTTTTGTCTCAAAAATATTTTCATAGAATAATAACAATAAAATATTTAGAATCATTACAGAAAACTATATCGAATGATGTAACATTTGTTAAGTCTTAAAATACCGACTTTTTTTGACAAAAGCTTCAGGTAAGGTTTTTCTGATACATTTTACATTGACAATGTAATTTTACGAATTTCACTTCTTTTTTGAGTACTGGAGTTTATATTTCTATGAAGAAAATATGCGTTCTTAATAGAAAATAAGTCATACCTATCGTTTATCTATCTCGAATATTGAAATTAGCATTGGCTCTTCAAGTTCATAGTTCCCTTTCTGTTGGCGAAAACTATAAAATCATAGACAGAGATATAATTCAGTATTGAAGGCAGAAGGTTACAGAGAATGGTTAAGTTCTAGGAAAAACGGCGTTGTGTGGACAGTGTTCAAAAGCATAGGGAGGTGTCACACCTAGATATATGCGAAACAAGTAGCATATCAGATTCACTGTGACTGCTCAAAAAAGAAGCTAAATATCATCTCAATCAGAAAGTAACCTTAAACAATAATTATTTTTCTTTCATAGGTCAATTTGCATTAGGTGCACGAAACAATGCTATAACACATGATAAATATACATTAGGTTTATTATTAAATATTGAAAATATTCATCGTGATATTTTACGTCTTGATGATGATGATGAAACACCCATAACACCAAGTAAAACTCCATCTGAAACAAATACATCAGATGGTACAACAACAACAACAGCAGCAGCACCATCAGCATCATCATCAACAACAACAACACAATCATCAATAATTCTTGATTCAATTATTGATCGTTATTTAAATCATCCTGATTATTTATTTGCTGATATGTTTGCACAATTTAATAAAGGTCAAATATTACTTGAACGTCTATATCCATATTTAACAACAACATCAATAACAAATCATCTTGAATTAATGCTTATACGTTTATATGGTTCATTAAATTATATGATACGTCGTTGGCCAACAACATTTCATATTGAACCAATTGTTATGAATATGATTAGTCTTATGCAACAACAAGTTAATATAAAAAAGACAACATTTGAACAATTATTATCACAAGTTTATATTTATTATGATCAAAAAATAAAATCAAAATTATTAGAATTAAATTCAACTGTATCATCAAGTCCATTTTCCGATCCAGTTTTATTTACAAATTCTCATACAGTGACTATTTTAATTGAACTTTTACTTACATTAGAACGTCGATGTTATCTATTACCGGGTATGAATTCATCAACATTACCTGTTCAATTAATGCAACAATTACAACCACAATTACAATATCAATTATCTGAACATGTTCGTTTACTTGTTAATGATTTATGTCAAGCACTTGTTTCATGTTCATCACCAACATATACACCGAAAAAAATGCTTAAACCATTTGCACAAGTACAACAACAACAATTTACTTTACTTTGCAAATTTCTTCGAATACAAATACCACAACATATATATGCTGCACTTGAATCAAAACTTATTTTTTGCTGTATTAAAGATATTTAAGATGTTTGTAAATAGGTTCTTTATACTTATTCTTGATTCTAGAACATAAATTAAACGTTTATAAGAGAATGTCGAAGTGAAAAAAAAAAGCAAAGAGCAAAACAAAGAGAGACAAACAAAAGCAACGGAGTTTTTTTTTTTTATTATCTTTAAAACTTATTTCTATTTTTTTTTTGTAGTGTGTAAAAAAACACACACGATCAGAAAAGTAGAGATGAATAACTTTGAAAGTAAAATAAAGAAGAACAGCAGACGATGGTTTTTTTTTTCTTTTAATGATTTGTTTTTTTAACGCCATGGTACAGGATTGATTGTTGAAGAATATTTGATTCTTGTATGTGAAGAAGGATTTATGGCTGGTAAATGAAAGGTTGATTGGGCGTTTTTTCGATGTGCTTGATTTCGTGAGAAGTATGTTGAATGATGATATATTTGAGCTACAAAGAGAAATATGTGATAGAATTATTAAAAATTAATTTGATTTTTATTAAACGAAAATTTTTCAAAATATAAAAATAATAGTTAAATGCAAACATAATTTCAATGTTTTTGCAACTACATTCAATATAATAATGTATAGTATGTGATGTCTGTCATATTTATCAATGCTCATTAATATATGATAGTCTAGGATGATGAAGTTATGTTTATGAAAGAAAAACAGACGCAACAAAATGCTATTTGTCAGTAACAACTAATTAGAAGTATAAAAAAAATGTGCCGTACGTGCTAGATCTAGATGAAAATCAGTTCATATGTAAACAAAAAGAGATACCTATCCAACTGTATTTATATGAGCTTCAAGTACTTACGACGACGTTTTCAATGACATAGTAGATATAAACAGAATAAACTTAATAATCAATATCTCAAAATCGACCAGTAGATTTTTTTAAGAAGTTTTAATGAACTATGAATTCATCATATGTAATGTAGCACAATTATACAAAACTATACGTAGCATCTAGGGAATGGGTACGACTATCTTCCGTACTCACGCCCTAATTATCATGTTCGTTCTATTTATATCACTGTTATTAAAAGAGACAATGTCATTTAAAACATCATCCTAGGTACTTCAAACTTCATTAGATATTGTAGGATAGGGATCACTCTTTCGACTTACTCAGGATAGAACACAATGTTTACGATGAATAATAAATAGAGCTTGTTAGATTAGTTCGGATCTAAAAACTTTGAAGTGGACGAGTTCGAGTGATAAAACTCATTAGCTCGATCTTTTGATAATATTGATGCCCACCGTTCGAACTACATGGGCGCCTTGGTTAAACTAGAAAAAATCTAAAAGGATTTCTCCTCATGCATCAAGTTATGATTGTTTTAACGAATTTTCAATCGACCTTGACATATACGCTGGATAATCAAAATAGAGATTTTCATCTCTAGATAAATTTCATCACCATTAGAATATTCCTTGATTTGAGATATTGAATTTTCAAAAAAACTTGATTTTTGTGGAAAATGATTTTTATCTGAAAATTCAATACCTCAACAAAGGAACATTCATTTCGACTGAAACTTTCAAAATATTCTACTAATCGTTCGAACTATTTGTGGACGAAATTTTAGATCGAAAGCTCAGTAAAACGGTCATGATTCGACTATAGAAGTCCATGAGCATGAATTCTTTTAGGATTTTTCTTGTCTCCTTTGTGAACTCAATTTTGAGCTCAAACTGTCGGTATCAATTACTTCAAACATCAAGAAAATTGCCACGATTAAGTATTTAATTAACAATCTCTATGAATTTATCAGTCAACTTTCCTATAAGTATGGTTTTTTTTCTCAGCATTGGTAAAAAACTTTAAATTTCTTATCTTCATTTTTGAAAGTCATTTACTTTCATTCTGCTGTTGTTGTTTGGATCTCTTAGCTTTCTGATATGTAGCTGGTCGTATAAATGTCTGTTGTTCATGAAGAATAAAATTTTGTTTAATATGTGGTGAAATATTTTTTGATTCTTTTTTATCTTGTTGATATTTTGGTGTTGATGGTGGTGTTGGACTATAACGTTCAAATTCATCATCATCATAATTTTGATTGACGAGTATTGGTATATGACCATGAGAAGGACCTGATGATGATTCACAAAATGTTGGAATTTGTATAGGTGAAATCATATCACGAGTAGATAATTGTTTTGATGAACGTGTCCAAGTATATGCTTTTCGCATTGATTGACGAGCAGAATTAATTTGTTCATGAGAAAATGTTTGATCAACACGATTTGGTTGATAATGATGGTATTTAGATGTTGTTGTTGCTTGAGATACACGTATTTTAGGCGAATGAGTTAAAATCGGTTGTTGAGAAGCGATATAATTGTGCGTGTAACGATCCGATACTGAAATAGTTCCTTTTTAATTATGATAGAAAACCGATTTTTTTTTTGTTCAATTACCTTTAATTGGTAAGTTATCGTTTTTAAATTTAGTTGTTGGCGGAGATGTTCGTGTATGAGAATATAATTTTTGTGTTGATTTTTTTGGTGATAAAATTTGATTTATTATCTTATTAGATTTATCCGGTGTTTGGAGAAAAGTTGTATTAGTTCGATTTAGTTTTAATTGAAGGTCATTTGTAAAATTCGATTTTTTTTGAATCCATGGTGGTTTATATTTAGTTCGTCGTTCTAATAATTGTTTAGCTTGTTCAAGTGTTCGTCGATGATTATTAGATGGTGTAATTCTTTGAATTTTTTCTTGATATTGTTTATTATTATTATTATTATTATTATTATTATTATTATTGTTATTATTAGATATTTGTTGTTTTCTTTTCTCTCGACTATTTGATAATTGTACATCATTATTTATCTGTTGTTTTTCTTGTTGTTGAATAGAAAATATTTTATCACCAATTCGAATTGATCGTTGTTTTATTGATTCAAATGGTAAACGACGCTGATTTCGTTTAATACATTGATTTTCATTTATATGTCGTTTATAAACATTTATGTTATAACGTCGTTTACATAAATCACAAGTAATCAATTCATTCTGTTCAAGATTTGTAGTTGACATAGAAATCGTTAATTAGATAGTTTGATTCTTTTGAAGAATATGTATTAATAAGTGCTGAATTAGTAAATATAATATGCGTGATCATTAGAAATCAGTTTCTTCTCTTTTTGATTTTATATGGATTTATTTACATTCATAGTTATTTATATAAGAGTTCTTTCTCTCATTTATGATTTTATAAGATGAATTGGTTAGAAATATGTAATAGAAAAAAAAAAGTTCTGATGTGTGTGCTAGCGACCTCATATACATCAAAATTTCTAATCAATTACGATATGTTTACTCATTGACCAATTCTGACTTCTTTTTTCTCATATGATTGATATTATGACTTTGCACGAAAAGCTCAAATCTTCTGCTTTTTTTTAATACATGTATTCAAATCTATTGAAGCGTACTCTAGCTCAAGGTATGTATATTAATGTGTTAATATATACTAACACGTCCTTCAATTCATAGCAAATCGAGAATACGAATGAGGACGATTTTTTCTTTTCGTTTTTTTATGAGTATGCAATCGTCCGAATTGTTTTTATGCGTTTCATTTTTCTTGTTAGATGAAATGTACTTGACCATTATATAGGTCGAGTCTCTCTTTTTTTTCTGCTACATCATGTTCGAAGTTCGAAAAAAAACTCTTATCTTTTTTATATTTGTGGTGTGTTACTTGTAGATAAGACGCAGTTGTTTTGAAAGAACACATGTCCTCGACCATGGATGCTACTCAGTCGTTTTACACAGTAAAGTTTTCTTATGGTTTTTATTTTATTATAAAATAAAAAAAAAATTTATTTAGAGAATATTACACAATTATGAACCACAATTAAGTGTATTATATGAAAAAACTCAATCATTAAATGAAGAATTATTGAAGTCATATACACCATTACAATTAATTGCAATAGCATCACTGGCTACTGCATGTAGTATAGGGCTCTATCAGTTTTTATTTGGTCGTGATGAAGGTAAATTTTAATAATAATAATATTCTTTGTAGAAGATTTAATGCGCAATAGAAAAAAAAACTCACTCATTAACCTTCTTCACTATTATTGACGTGCTATTACGTCAAAAAGACCTTCACGTTAAAAATAGAGGTTACGACTTTGTGAACATGATTTCTTCGTTATGCTTTTTATTGATTTTACTATCTTGTGCTGACAGTGATACTTTCCGCTGATGTTGACATTCTACATAAGTTATTGTCCCCTTTATCAAGTTTAGTTTTATTTATGTTCACTATAGATTCAGTTCTTTATCTGACAGCGGTTGATGAATTAATTGTGCTGTTGGTGACTTTTTCTTTTGTTTATTTCTCCGCAAATAACAATAGTAAAGATAAATATAGTTAAAAACACTAAAGCTTTTGTTGAAAAACTCTATATGCAACGTTTTTTCTTTAGATAAGAGTTACAGCTGCGAACTCAGCACTTTAAAATTGAATTTTTTTCGATTAGTTCTTGTAGTATTTCGGCTATGTACTATATATGAAGTTATAAATAGTGATGTGCAGGATCTGAATTACAAGAAAAGGATTGTTCTAAATGGAACTAAAGATTATAGTTAAATAGTCTATGAATTTAAACGAATGAATTAATACAATAGTGGATAAAAGTCTCTGCTCTAGAGGGCTTAAGCCATTGTAGATGTTAGAGGACTGAAAATTTGTGTGCACGTCGTTTGTCAAGACTAGAGGACAGAGACACATTCTGCTTTGATTGCTTAAGTACAGAGAGAATCATGAGGAATGACAATAGATGTTATCTATATCATCTTTGAACTTCATAACTCCAGAAAAGTTGAATTCTCTGGATCAGTGAACTGTTCAGTATGTAGCTTTATATCCTATTTATTCATCTAACTAATTTCATTGAACTTCATCAACCTTTTCTAGCACTTTTTCCAGTTTACTGCTATTATTAATATGTAGAAAATCATTTGATGTTCTTTTGAGACAAGACCATAGTAGTAATTCAGTGAATGAAGGTCAAACTCTTAGAAAAGCTACTTCTACAGTTGAACATTAGTCCTTGCATGTTTCATAAACAAATTGAGTGTGAATGAGAAATGGCACAACTGTAACCATTGTGTTGATGGTGCAAAAAATTCAGAAACATATAACGATGCCAATATTCGAGCAAATGAACTCATCTTTTGAGTAAAGAAAGATCATAGATTGACCTATAGTTACAGTGGAGTAGGTTCCGAACTAATCACGCATTCGGTAACAAAGTAATGAAAAATTGAGTAGACAGTTCTTTTCGGATTAAAACGTTTAATACATAAATAGATGTCACCCATCCTAATTATCTTTTTTACTTAAGCATTCAATAATGATTACGATTCTCTAGGATGGAAACTTGTAAATCATGTCAAGGAGAACATAATTCAAGAGAGATGACTTCAAAAAATGCTAGTTGCGACGAAGTAAATCCAAAAACTATGATCCTCAGGACCCGATTAGAGTTATTGAATACATAATTGAGACAACTAAAAAAAGAACTTACCGAGATTGGAATCAAGAAAAGTTGATTCTACACATCTCTAATGGTGAAGACCTTTTATGTTATAGTGTGAAACAATATTTAAAGACGTATTGAAGTATATACGGTAGCAATTCGTATTTTCACGGATCGTGTCAGATACTATATAGATAAAGACTATCAATGACTGTATAACAATAAAGTCTCGTTATAACATATGAAAAACTTTCCTATTGCATTTCTACATAGAGCCCTGCAGGGTGCCCATAACCTGTCCTGCCCTGTCCTGTCCTGGCAGGGCAGGACAGGGCAGGGTCAGGTTACGAAATTTTTACAGGGCAGCACTGTCATAACCTGTTAACCTGCTATTAATTTATCGAATCAAACATTATAGACATCTTTTGAAAAATTTTATACGAAGAAGAATATCGAAGCATAAAACAACATAAAGTAGGAGAATTGATTACGAAGTCGATGAAATGTTATGAATTTTTTTGTAATATCAAATATAGCAGGGCAGGGCAGGGCAGGTTACAGGTTATGAAAAAAAGTCTCAGGGCAGGACAGGGCAGGGTACGCGAAAAAATTTACAGGGCAGGACAGGATTAGGTTGCAGAATTTTTACAGGGCAGGTTACAGGTTACGAAAATACTGCACCCTGCAGCCCTCTATTTCTATAGGATTAAGTAAAAGCATGGTGAAGAAATGTGTCCAAAAATAGGTAAAATACCACAATTTATCAGTAATTACCAATAGCAGTTACAACATGTTTCACATTTTAATTCCACAAAGATTTCGCTAACAGCTTCTTAAACGTTTTTAAATTACCAAAACTTTACTGTTTAGCTTCAAAAATAAACTTCAAAGGTTAAGCAGTTAAGAAGAATAGTGATTAGTTAAGTTTTCATATAAAAACGTAACCGTAATATAATCCAGTTTAATTTTCATTTTGTTGAGAAAAAAATTAGAATTATATTTGAGTCGACTACAGTTTCAATAAGAAAACACGTTGATCTTGAAACTTTACTAAACACTAAACAATGAATAGCTTATTTTTAATGAAAACAAAAAGAATTGATAAAAATTTTTTTAGACATTTCGACACGTATTAAACAAACAATATTTCGTTTGGTTCGCTATATACCATACGTAAAACGTGAAATTGCCAAAGCACGTGATGATACATTAAAATCTGTCTATGCTGATATGGCAAAAAGTATTCACGGACATGAATTTTCAAAAGCTTTACCAGAAAAAGGACTTTCAAAAGTAAATTATTGATTAATCAATATATAATTTATTTTTTTATTTTGAAAAATTTTTTAGGACGAACTTATTAAAAAACTTGAAAAATATCGAAATTTTGAACATATTAATTATTCATCTGGTAAAGTTTCTGGTTGTGTTTATAAATTATCAAAATCGGATACAATCGAAATATATAATACAGTAAATTAATTCTTTAGATTTAAACTGTTAAATATACTTTATCTTAAGGCTTTTAATTTATTCGGTGATACAAATCCACTTCATGCTGATGTCTTTCCTGATATTCGAACAATGGAAGCTGAAGTTGTACGATGCGTAGCAACTATGTTTCATGGTGATGATAATGTTTGTGGAACGGTAAATTGATTTTAATTAAATATTTGACATTGTCATTTGTCTCTATTTAGATGACATCTGGTGGTACAGAATCATTATTAATGGCTTGTAAAACCTATCGGGATATGGCTTTAGCAAAAGGCATTAAAAGACCTGAAATGTAAGTGTATATATAACATATTGTATTAAGCACACAGTAGGAGGTTTATATACGCCCTAACTAAGTGGTCCTTATGATTAAACGTATACATGTAGTCATTTGCATATCTTTTCATTTCACTTGTTGACACATTACAAAGGAAAGGACAATAAAGACGGTCGGAGGCGAGTTCTGACAATAGACACATCAGTATTGATGATGATTATTATATTTGTATGTGTATATGCTCGCTCTTGTCTACCGCACATAGCACAATCATCAATGCATTCAAGCTTTTCGTCTGTCTCTATTTGAAAAAAAAGAAAGAGGAAGTATAGATTAATGTCTTTTACTTTCATTTTTTTTTTCTTAAAACATGCTCTTAAAATAAAAAATAATCATAAACAAAAAAAACAGAAGTGGAAATGATATTTGCCGATATGATGAACTTGTTCCGAAAAGAAGTTCGTCCGATTTTAAATAAAAATCATTATTACATTGTTCACTGTTACATCGTTTTATGGTAATTATATCAATATAAGAAGATGATGATGATGATGATAATGAACCAAGTTTTGATTCAAGTAAAATATTTCCTTCAATTGACATATCATCATATGGTGAACAATCTCGTATAGCTCTTGTTAATGTCATTGGAAGAAATTCACGTTTCAGTATAGATGATGACGATGATAATAACGAACGATTATATATAATAGCAAAATAACAAAATGTTCTACATGTTCGTACGGGTATTTGTCTTGTAAATTCTCCACAACCAGGTCCATCAATAAAATTGTCACATGTTAAACATTGAAAATCATATGCATTGATTATTGATGAATAAACAATTAACATTAAAATAAGACTAAATAGGAAATTTAAACAATATAAATCCATTCCATTGAATATCTAAAAAAAACATAGGTTAAGAGATAATTAACCTTGAAAAATACATAAAAGCTCGTTTCTTTTTCTCTTCGTTTCTTCTTTTTATCTGTATATAAAATATATATTTTAGTAAACTTATTCACAAAGCATCACATATATCTCGTTTTGTCGCTCGACTGATCTAAATGCAACACGCCGCTTGTTCGATTACATCATTACTTACGCTAGTATATATACACTTGCTGTTTCGTCACTCGTTTTTCGATAGGAAACCTATGATGAATTAATGTTCTTCTTGATGTTATGCGATGCATGCTCGACTGAATCAGTAAAGAAATGTATACATATATACTACTTACAAAAAAAACAAAAAGAAATTTCTTCTACGTAGATTTTATATTGAAAAATATAATTGGCTCGGAGAGTTGGATAGTAATGATCGATCTAATGCTGTATGTATTGTCATCGATCAATGTAGAGTTATCTTTGACTTAATATAAGCTCGGAGAATAAGAGAGCGGACAAGAAACAAAATTGCGTCACGTACATTTAGAAAACGAACAATTATCTTGAAGAAAAACTTCCAAGAATGAAATTTTCTCTTGTAATCCTATTTAATAAAATCGAAGATGAGGCCGAAAGAGAGAAAAAATTGAGTAGGAGGAGAAAAAGAATCAACGCTAACAGGATGAATTTATCTCTGGTCAATTAGTCTATAAGGGTATATAGTATGTGTTTGATCGAGGCGACTTGTATATGTTAGTATCATTATCGAAGCTTGAATGCTCATGTTGACCGTTCAATATAAATAAACAATAGAAAAAAAAATGAGAGTCGCCTATAAGCTATGATTGATTCGATTAGAAAAGGTGTTGTTATTATTCTTTCTATCAACTCACATGTGAATGTAATGGAATGTATAATAAAAAAAAATGTGATGAAAAGGAAGGGTAATTCAGTTGTTCTCATCAACAAAACTATTGCATTGTTGTTACTCTCGTTCTCATTTCTTTTTTTTTCTTTTTCTTCTCCTTCATCTTATTCTCTCATCGCGGACACAAACATGCACATCGATTGACCTCAATCAAAGGAAAAAGAGGAATAGTACAGTTTTTTTTCTTCTACCTCTAAGGTTCAACTGAACAAGGAAGCATACGACTTTGACATTTTCTTTCACTTAAATTTCTCATCGGTCTCTTTTTCATACAGGTGTATATAAATGGAGTATATCTGATGACTACTCTTATTATAATAATCGAGTTTGAAATAAAGACTAGTCACACGAAAGCAAAGGATAAGGAAATAGAATTTTTAGTATGTATTGCCTCGGGACAGACAAAGTGACCAGTTAATAGAGTTTCGTTGCATTACATTTCCGCTCTTAGATCAAAAAAGAAAAAAGAACGGTCAGATATCGATGAGATTTATGCCGTATGTTGTTTATCTCAATCAGTAGATTGTCAAAAGTGTGTGTACTTAGCTCGATTTTTCGTCTTTTTGATTCGATTTGATAACCAGATCATGTAGGTGCACTTGACTTTCAAATGGTTTATGTACTAATTCAATCATTCGAAAAAAAAGGTGACTTTATATAAAAATGATTTTAATTCTACTTTACTCTTTGTCTTTAAACGAGTTTCTAATTCATGCTTTCTGGTCATGATTAATGATGTCAATAAAAATGAATACTCAGATATAATAACATTATCATTAGTAGTCGTGTATCATTTGAGACATACCCTTAAAACGGTGGTCGACACTATTGCAATTAACTTTTTCTTGCTATATTTTACTTCACTCTTTTAACATAGAGTAGAGTGTCTGCCTATCTGAAGAAGAAGAAGAAAAAAAATAGGAAGCAGGATGACATGCCCGGTTGATTGAAGCGACGGAAAAGAGAATGGTCACTTCACTTTCTCTTGTCTTCAGCCGAAGAAAGCGACATCAAGTTTTTGAATTATGATGGAACCAGGCAGAAAAAAAAGAAGAGACATAAGGAAAAAAAGAAAAGAAAGAAACTACAATGCTATTGTTATGCTGTCAAAATATATCAATAGATTAATCGACATAAATCAGTTGATGACAATGCAAGCATATTAGGTTTCCGATTTGCGTGTATGTATATGTAATTAATTAATGATGACAAGAACAGAAGAAAGTGAACAATTACAAGAGAGATAGACATTAAATATTTCGACAAATACATCGTATTTATGAGAGTTTCCGAGTGTCTTTCTCGACTAATACTTGAAAAAAAATCGAAGGAATCTCAAGTGATACTCTATTACGAATTCTTCATAATTGACATTAAAATAAATAAAAAAGTTACATGTATACATATATATATATATAGAGAGAGAGAGAGAACGATGATACCTGTCAAGAACATAAAAAGAGGAAGAAAAGATATATATTTTTTTGCGTGTTTTTTAATCTAATTACGTACAGAATCCTAGGGTTCTTTTTCTTCTTCTGACATTGCCGACTAGATAATGTTTGTGTGACAAACATATGCAAGTATCTTGCTTACACGTTTGTAAGATCGATTAAATGTAACCGAACACGCATGATAAGCATGAAATCTCTCCGGAACTTGTTCTATCTCGTTCATCGAACTAATGTGCTTGATTCAAGCCGATTTATAACAGAAAAAAAAGAGAAATGATGCCTGCTTTTCATCTCCTTCTTCTTCTCTCCTTTAATATTAATCGTGTTCAAATAACGATGCGTATGTGAGTGAGATCTTTTGCCTTGACAAGATGCAGTCACGCGGTCAGTAGTAACTAACGAGACTGCAATTAAACATACATGCTCTCATTTCCGCCGGCAGAGTTCGTACTCGTGCTTACGTATCTGGTCTTTACATTAAAAAAAAAAAAAAGAGAAAAGAAAAACTTCAATTCGGACCTTGCTTCCGTCACAATGAAAGAAACATATCAACTTTTTTCTCTAATACTATAACAAGAAGTAGAGGAATGAATGTGTCATAATCATTCTTCGATCGTGTATGTGAAAATAGAAACGAACTGATATATTAAGCAAACTGGTTGACACCTTATTCTCTTTTCTCTTAATAGATGTGTGTTACCATCAGTATATTAAACAAATTTTTTTGTTTTCATCATCTTTCTTCTTGAAATTCTTTTTATGATATTTTATAAAATGAGTATCAATGATTATTCATTAATTTATTTGTTCGTATTCAATAAACCATGGTCATTTGATGTTAGAATTCTTTATTTTAACATATGTCTTATTCTGTTCGTAAAGAGATATGCAATTTGCGATTTATTCGATCACATCTGATTGAGATCAACATTTGTTCTTTTTATTCTTGTCAGACAAGAGCAACCTTTTTTTAACACATCTGACTAGCACCTGTGTCTCGTTGCTGCCAAATAGCTATCTGTCAGCAATATACTGGACAATATTACCATCTTATCTCTATATCTTCTGACAATGCACATATACACGCACATATATAACTCTGCATGAGTGTTCATAGTAATTCACAGCATTTATCGAAGAGAAACAGGTTATAGCAATGATGCATTCATACTAATCAAAGATACATGAGAGAAAAAGAATGACGTGCACAAGCTGTGAGTCATTGTTTTTGTAACAAATAATAAAACTAATTCTTCTTTTCTACTTGTTTCGAAAATAACAAAAGCAGTTGATAGAAGCACATATTTCTCCACCCACCACTTACCCTTCTTCTTTTTGTCGTCTTTTTCCTTGTTATTAACACAAACGAAAGAAGACTCCCTAGTGAGAACGACCGGACACTCAAGAATGCTATGTGAGTCAGGCAGTCATGAAGTGGCTTCGCCTTCTGTCTCTCTTTCTCTCTCTCTCTCTCTCTCTCTCTCCCTATAAAAAGAGAGAATATTTAACATCTATTCTTTCTGTTTTTTATTGAATCTTTCTTCTCCTTATATATATATATATATCTTGCTAAAGGGAGAACATATATAACGAAAAGAATACCTTGAAAAAAACGGATGGAGTTACGTATGTCAAACTTGTTTGAATCAATCAAACTCACGCTTATACGTATGAACACAAATGGCTATTGGGCTTTGTCAACATCAGATGTGCATGTGTGTGTCGTTAAATGTTTGTATCGACTATTTGTGTCTGCCGGTTACTACTATAAAACAAGCAAAAAAAACAATTACTTTAACTTTACTAGGCGAGAAGAAGAGACCTTAGAAATAGTGTCCAAGTATGACGATGAATTATCGATTATCTTGTTAAATATGAAGGAACGATAGAATCAATTCCCGAGGGATTGAATTTAATACGAAATTGTTATCAATGAAAATGAAGATATTGTACTATTGAATGTTCGATTGCACAAGTTCTTTTTCTTTTTGACTTTCTAAAAATGAAGTCATAATTCTATATGAACAAAAAAAAATGTGCTCCATTTGTTTCCAAGGTTATTTATATTTTATTATATATATATATAAGAGAAGAAAGCACTTACATTTTCCGATAGAAATGAGTAATATTTCAATGGATTTTATGATAAAAATATTGTGCATACTTATCAAAAAAAAAGTCAATATTGATTGCATTTATCAGGCTTTTTTCTTCTTCTTTGTTTGGATTGAGAAAATTTTGAAAATCGATATCAAAATTATCGTTTGAGATATATCAATTATTTCTTAATAACATAAGACTTCCATCATTTCGATATGTAAACTGAAGCAATAGAAATAATAGAGCAATTTTCTTTTTTTTATTATTCTAATTTGTTGAAAGAATAAACGAAATTGTGATATTTGACCTTATAAATAAACATCCATTAGTTGAATAAATGGTAATAACTAATGTATTTTTCTTTTATAGTGTTATGCCTGTAACAGCTCATCCAGCTTTTCATAAAGTATGAACGAATTTTATTGACATGTAAAGAGTGTCTTATAACAACTGAGAATAAATTGTTAACAAACTTTTTCTTAATGTAGAAGATTGAGATTTGTTTTTCATATACATATATTTAACCAAGATGTTTAATTTTCCATAGTTTCAGCTCTCAACATAAAACTAGTAGTGAAATACATGAATTATTGTACTTGATTTTTGTGACATCTTTATTTCTTAATCAGTAATATTTATAAACATTGCATGGAAAGAAATTTTAGAGGATAGATTTTTTCGAAAAAGTAAATTATAACAAAGTTCAAGGTACATGAATATGCTGTCTATTGCTTTGTATGACTAACAATAATTGATTAGGTCTGTCGTCTATCGTTTTGTAGATTTTTCTTTCCAGAGATACCCCCATATCCTGTCAGCTCTTCATACATTCGGAAATTTAGCATTGATATCTATTAATTCTATACGTTTATTAAATAGGTATGCTAGAAACTATGCAGCCAATACTTCATATTGTTTTTAGATGATTTAAATTTAATACAAATCATGTACGATCTTTGATGTTTTCGTAATTCATGGAAATTGAAAATAAAACTTGTCATTAAATCTAAAAGAGTTTAGACATAAATGCATTCTTATATAGTTTTAAAAAATCTTTAGCCGTACTCTCAGTCAGTGTTCTCATCATCGAAGTTTGATGATATGACTATTGGCAATGTCCATTTTCGGTGATATTATGAGATGATAAGTACAGTATATATACATGATAAATATTCAGAAAGAGAGAGAGCATAAGGAATGATTGTTGAAACGAAACTTACGAACATAGTTGATCGATTTCGATGATGAAGTATATACAGCACTAATTTTAGCGAGAGAGCTGGAATTTTGTAAAATCAAAGATCTTGGTTAGATATATATATATGCGTGATAAAAATTTCAATCTCCTATGTCAAGAAGAGTATGTTGACAATTATATCCTCAGTTATTATGAAACATGCTTTGTATTTGTTTTTGTATTTATATATATAAATACTTATTTTAGGCTTCTTCTTATTTTAAAATGAGAATAAAACGTGTTCCAGTTGATCCCAAAACACTTGAAATTAATGTTAAAGAAATGCGTCGGGCAATAACAAAAAATACTTGCATGGTAAAAATTTCTTTAAGAATAAATAATTGAATTTTATTTAGAAAATATTCTTTTAGCTTGTTGCTTCTGCACCAAATTTTCCACATGGTACTATTGATCCAATTGAAGATATTTCTAAAGTAGAAACATTTAGATTTTGCTTTTTAATTCAAAACTTACTGATAAATTTCTCTAGATTGCACTTGAATATGACATTCCATTACATATTGATGGTTGTTTAGGTGGTTTTCTTATTGCTTTTATGGATCGAGCTGGCTATGCATTAAAACCTTTTGATTTCCGTGTACCGGGTGTAACGAGTATTAGCTGTGATACACATAAAGTATTACATTTTATTGAACAATAATGTAGAAAATTATTTGTTTGTATTTTAGTATGGTTATACACCAAAAGGAGCTTCAGTTATTCTTTATCGAACTCCTGAACTTCGTTCATATCAATTTTATGCATTAGCTGATTGGCCCGGTGGTATTTATGCATCACCATCAATTGCTGGTAGTCGTTCAGGATATATCATAGCTTGTTGTTGGGCTACACTTATGTACTATGGACTTGAAGGTTATGTTGAAGAAACACGAAAAATTATTCAAGTAACAAGATATATTGCTGATGGGTAAAGCTAGATAAATTATTTTGATAGCTTCATTTTTTTATTTTTTATTTATGATATAGTTGGAGTAAAATTGATGGTTTATATCTTTTACATAATCCTGATGTAAGTGTTGTATCTGTTGGTTCAGACAGCTTTAATATTTATTATTTACTTGATGGATTACGTGCTAAAGGATGGCATTTAAATGGTTTACAAAATCCACCTGGGTATATAAATAATTTGTGTTTTTTTCTTTTTGCAACCATTAAGATGCTGTTTAAACTTTAGCTTACATATTGCTGTTACTCAACTTCATACACAACCAGGTGTTGCAGATAAACTTCTCGAAGATACACGACAATGTGTTGTTGAGATTTTAACAAAAGAGGATATGAATGATACACCTACAGTAAGACTTTAATGATTAATTCATATTTGTATCATATTTACTTATTCTTATATATATATTAGGCAGTAATTTATGGTACAAATCAAAAAGTACCTGATAAATCACTTGTCTGTGATATTGCGAAATTGTATATTGGTGCATGTTATGATACAAATATACCGTCGACAACGAGTGTTAATTAGTCGACGAAAAAAAAAACAACAGAAAGAATAATGGTTTCTTTTATATTATTTTTTTGAACGAATTGACATGTGTGTTTTTTTAATAGTCATTCATATGCAATAATTCTTACATCTATGAATATATTTTTATAGTTCATTATTTTTTTTGTCTTCAAGAAAAAAAAAATTTTTTGTTTTTCTCCTACGGTTAATTTGTTGTGGATTGGTATTGATTTTTTTAGAAAAATAATTTATTTATTGTGCTTTATTTATAACAAGAGAAAAAGGTACTGTTTTTTTCTTATATTGATTATAATAACATTAGCAAAGATGTGAGAATATTGCCTATGATAATATGTGTGATTTCATTATTCTACTAATATGCTTTCTGTGTGTCATGTGACTATGTTTAAAGAAAAAAGATTTCATTATAGAATTTTTCAATGAATAAAGAAAACCTGAAAGTAGTATTAACACAACCTTCTGCTTATAAAGGTTTGTTTGATTTTCATGTCATATTATCATTGTTTTTGTTCGTCATATCTCATTATAGTCTCATCATTGCACCACCAATCTAATATACACTCATTACCTACAGGTATTCGTGGAGGAGGTGGTTCATATTTTCATTTGTAAGTTACAGCTTTTCATTGTTTTTTTTTTTTTGTATGTTAACTAAAATATTTATTTTTAAATAATACAGGCTTTATGGTTGTTTAGCTGGTGTCTGTATTTGGTGTATAATGGAAGAATGTTGCTAACAGATTTTATGTTCATACTCAAATTTTGTAAAAAAATTTATTTTTATGATAATATGAATAATAAACTATGACACATTCATAATTTGATTAAGCGAACATCCAAATCATTTGGGCCGCTTTGTCTTAAATAAAGAAAAATGTTCTTCTCTACTGAATCATAAGACACAATATTTTTCAATCGGTAGAAAATTTGAAGAGTAAAGACACTAGAGAATGTCAAAAGAGAAATTCTGGCAACGTTGTTAGACTCCATGCTAGAGTCAAACAAAATATCTGAAACTCATTGGATTTGGCGTATTTTTTCGTTTCATTCCAATCTCTTATTAAATCAAACAGTTTGATAATATACTTCATATTGAAATTCTATAATTAGGTTTGAATGTATGCCTAAATTTCATGCTTATTGCGATACAATATTTGTCGTTGTCAAAAGCACATAAATACAATTAATAACTGTATTATCTTGAAAAAAACCGAAATTCTTATTTCAACATCATTATATTGTGAAGTGAATACAGAACAACCGGAACTTCTTATCAAAGTTTCGAAAAATCGTTAATCATATAGAAATATGGGACTTAATAAAAAGGTTAGAACGAAAATCGTACGACTCTACGCTCGTTAGATCATCACGTCACAAGACAGTGACTTGAATGGTAAGATCAAGAAAGTTTCTATGAAGAACTTCTTATCTAATAACAAATTACCTATTGGAGATAATTTGTGCATTGATTCGAATTGGCATAGCATGATCTGCATTATCAAAAACCATGGAAACAAGACCGATTGTTATATTAATCGGAATGTTTGAAATACTGAAATAAATAATTTCAGATTTCTTATCTTGTGACAAAATAGTTATCGAAAATAAAATTTTTAACTTTTTTAAAAATTTTATTCAAAAATGACAATAGACGTTCCTATAGACTTGATGTTTTATGATTTCTAACTATTGTTTGCTTAAGTTTTTTCCTTCAATTGTCAGGTACTTTTAATAAATATTGACTGTAGCAAGAATATGTCGATGAATATAGCCAGCAGTAAATGAAAAATAAGCTGCTAAGAAACATCCAATAATACAAGTTGAAATCATCAATATCATACTAGAACCAAAATGTAATTTTGTAATTATTAATGTATTATTGCTTTCGACTACATCTTTAATATAAAAAATAAAGCCAAGAAAAATCATTATTATACCAATAATAAGGATAATAGGTGGAATAAAATGAATACTACGTTGATTAACTAATGCAGTACATAGAACACCAACAAAAAGACCGATTACTAATATAATATAGCCAATAATTTCAAAATATTGAGGAATTCGAAAATTATCTATATTTGTACATTTATTTGTTTCATTTTTATTACATTGTCGAAAAAGATCATAGATAATTGGATGTAATGATTGATCATGATTTATACTTATCCAAGTTGATGTTGTAAGTGCAATAATACCCAAAATTATTGCACACAGACCAACAATGAAACCTATAATCGCAAATTTATGATAATAATGCATCGTTATCATAGCCAAATGTTCACTTGTATAATAAATTTTTATTAATAATAAAAAGAAACAGAACAACAGAATAAGCTGGAACATTTAAAATACTTGCATAAGATAGAAAAACAAAACTTTTTGTGGAGCCATCTGTCAATGATATAATGAATGTATATACATGAGCGATAAATCATTTCTGTCGTTGATAAAATAGTGAATTAATATATGATAGAAATATTCAGCAGAACAAATGCTCGTCTTGTTACACAAGTCAATATTACGTACGTCATTTGATGTTAGTAGTCTGTACCAATTACTAAAAGTGCTCGACTCGGAAGCTACAGGTTCCGTCCACAAAAATATGAACCCACAGCTTCCTATAGATTTGTATCAACCAATTTTAAAAATTTTTTGTGCAAGATTTTTATAACCGATATCATTAGTTGTTTTGAATGATTGACACAGTAAAGTAGTGTAATGTCCACACAAGCAACTCTATTTCCCTACTTAATTCTATCTGAAATAGTTGGTTCATTTTTTGAAGATGCATAAAACTGATTAATACTTGTTTGAGTATTGGAAATTCTCGTCTTGTTTTTAATTTTGACATCGACAAATATGTTTAGTATCAGAAGATGATTTATCAATAAGTAGATGTTTACATTAATTGCATATAATATATTCTTGTTTGATCTCGTTCACATAAATACAACTAAGACTATTCGATATAGGTGAAGATTTTAATGTTATTGTTGGTTTGACGAAGTTTGTTTATCAATTACTTGTTTTGTTTCCTTTTATATTAGCATAATATTCTTTTCAACTCAACAAAAACTTAATTTATTACGAATCAAGTAATAGGAAAGTGAACAACAAGAAATAACTGCCAGTTGAATTTTTTCTGAAAGTCGCCTATAAATTGCTAAAATCTTGATCTTTAACTTGGCACTGTACGCAAAGGGTTCCATATATTGTTGAGAAAAAGCTCCGAGCTCAAGAAAGTCGAGAGGGTGGTCCTATCAGTCTTGAAAACTTTTCATTTTTCTTCACAGAAGTTCCGACGTTTTATTGGTTAACAATCGTCGCATAAATTCGATCTATCACAGCAAAAATCTTTCAATCGGTTTTCTGAGTTATCGACTTACTCATTCCTTCAATCCTGGTAATTTTGAGAGACCTTCGACTAATTATTAATCGAAAGAATAGTTATAACTATTAGAAATGAATGGTTAGTAAGACAATAAGTTATTGATTGTGTTTTTGCTTGTTGATAAACGAGATAGATCGTGGGGATCAAGCTTTTATAATTATCTAAAGGTAACATTGGTACTAGTGGAACATAGACAAGTTTCTTGATCTAACAAAATTTCTATCTAGTTTTTCTACTTCATTATCGATTGACATCTCCATTGAATTACTAAAGAATTCGATCATTATTTACTCCTAATGATATCAATCTATAAATAGTTGTCTTTATTATGAAACTGAAAAATTAAAGTTGAAGTTATTTCAAAGCCTTGCTACTCTATCATTTTTTTTAAATTGACAACAAAAAGAAGAAATGAGTAAAGTATATCGTTTTTCAAATGAGTTACACATACGTAACTACTTGATTTACATAATGCTGTTTTATGAATGTTTTTGCAATCAATATTTTCAAGTAGTATGTATCGCAAGTATAAAACTTTACGTAAGTTTATGTTCATAGTAAATAAGATTCTTCTAGATGATCAAAATACGTTAGTTTGTCGACCTACAACATTCGAAGAGGTATGGTGATAACGATGAGGTTTTTTATGTTGAGCAGATCCAGCAACAAATGCAAAGTATATGGCTGTGAGAAAACCAAATATACAAGCAACGACCATCAATATCATACTATAGCCCAGACCTACAGAATTCGGCCTTCCTATTTCGATTACATATTTCGCATACAGAAGAAAGCCAATTAGTATTAGAATTGATCCAGAAATTAGAAAAATTTGTGGCAATAGATGAATCCATCGATTTTTAGAAGACATGCCAAAAATAACTGAAAGAATTACACCAACTGCTATTGCAACAACTCCAGCTATTTCCAAACCGTTAGTGGTATCAGAATGTGGTGATTCTAGACAAATATTCGTAGTACCACATATGAGAAGACTGAAATTTGTTGTTAGTATTTGGATCCATTTAGGGGTAGCAAGCGCCACAATACCCAAAACAATTGGAATAAGACCAATTAAAGCACCAAGTAGGACTAAGTTACGTGATGGTTGCATTAGTAATGAATAAAATTGTACTCATCCAACTTTTTTTATGTCATTTATCAATAATATTCTTGCTTTAAATAGAAGGTAAGGCAAGGCTATAAACGAAAACTGATACCACCCTTCTCTCGTTTATGATTACTTTGTTAGCATATTGTGCATTTATCGTAAATCATCTTTTCTTATCAAAAGATCTAAAGTACTTTGATTTTAATGATGTATATTAGTATAGTTGTATTTTTCGATGATAGAAGTTATTACCTTGTTGAGATTACCATCAAGAAAAGTAAAAGAATTTGAAGTAAATCTGTTAATATTGTAAAATGAGATTCTACTTCATATATATCAATGCTATTAAGTTACTGCTGACATATGATAATATTGATTACCTGTTGCTTAATGCATCGTATATATAGGGAGAATATTCTATGTTACAATCGACTAAAACCAGTGTTATGCGTAACCGGTATCTTTCAAAGATAGAATTAGTTCGATTCAGTCCTAAAAAATACGAACAGATCCTATCTCTGATATCCATTTTGAGTAATAATAGATTGTATTATATAAACATTTGTGAATTTTGTATTAAATATTATCAATGGTTCGATAAATTGCGCACATATTCGTAGTTATAGATAATAAATGAAAAATAGTAATGATCCTAATATGAGGTAAAAGCATTCCATTTACATGTTAATATCAATACGGAACAGTAACTAGAACAGACCTACTTTTCATAAATGTTGCCTGCCTATAGCATATTATGAACCATTTTTCAGCCTGTTTGTGTCTGTCATTCGCTCGCGTCAACTTATTCTTTCACCTGTAAATTACTTTACATACTAATATTATGATGGTAATTGACTAAAAGAAGAAGACTATCTTTATAAGACGATAACAAAGTCATGTACACGAAAATGACATAACTCTACAATACATTTATTGATCTAATTATATCATTTGTCTGCCGAGATTAGACAAAAAAAGAATACATTCATATATGAAAAAACCAGTGTTTTTGAATAAAATCATTTTAAATGAGTTCAATTAACTATATAGCTGAAGTGAACATAGCAAGTCTTACTGTATTATGGTAGTACAAATATGAATCAGGGAAAAATAAGCTTTAGTCAATGATTCCATGTAAGATAACCATAACAACTAAGTAGAAATATCGAAATGAACAAATAAACTAAAATAGAATAATTGGGCAATGAATAGTATATTGATAATTTATTATTAGTTATAGTTGTGTCTAGGCAAAAATAGTAAAAGAATATGATTAATAATATACTAACGATAAGAATATTTCACTATTTTTGATGCCTACATTTTCTGCTTAGAGCACAAAACTTTTTTTATTGGAAATTTGGGGAAAACATTATTGAGAGGTGTTCAGTCTATTTTTAGCGATCTGATCTGTGACAGGCTTGATGATCCATTAGGAGCCCCTGATAATTAAATGATAATATTCATCATAGTACAGAAGACCTTATCGAGCATGTTTAAATGTAAAATGCTGATTATCATCTTGGATAAACTCAAAAAAGAATTGAATACGAAACTTTTTGATGTGATTCAATTTGATTCTACTAATTAATATTTTATTGTAACTTCTAGAAAAAAAAACGAAAATAGTAAACATGAGTTTTACTTTATGTCACCTTTGATAACAAACTGAACATCGAGGGTGCGCCCTTTTTCGTCCTTAATCATGTGTCAGGATGTAAGGCAGATAAGGACGAAAAAGGACGCACCCAACATCGAAACACGATAACGAGGAAAAATTCAATTGGTATGTATTAATACAGAAAAACAGGGCAACAGTCATCTAAGAATCGTATAGATAAAGTTATTCAACACTGATGAATACCAATCTTTCATAAGAAGAATCATGAAATTCTCTGCAAAATCATAGAAAAGTGTTAGTTGACAAGATTGAAGTAAAAGATTTGTTCGATATATGTATTGCTAACATCTTTCAAGTATAAAATTGAAGTTTTTCGTTTCTTTTTGTATCCGGATGTTGAAATCTGAAAAAGCTTCGCTACGTATTCTGTAGAGCTGTTTTCAAATGGAAGAGAAAAACACGTGTTAGTATCCACCATTTTTTTTGTGTTCGCGAATAGATGATTGATTCGAAGCAGAGTTTTCTTCTGTAGTATGTACGTTTAAGTTTAAATCTATAAGTTGCTGATGTAGTGTAGAACAGTCGAATTCAATAATGCTGAAATATTTTTTTCCTCTTGACCACGTTAAAACCACAAAAGAAAATCTGGTTATTGTGAAACTTGTATCATTATATTTGAAATAGTGCTACACAACATTTTAGCAAATGTTTTTTTTAGTCAAAAGAAACAGAAAATTTTGTTACAAATTGGTGATTCAAAGTTGTTCGAAATACATAGACACGGTTATTATTAAATAAATTTTATGCTTTTATCTTTTTAACCAAGTATTTCTGATGGTTGTGTAAAAAATCTTATACTGCATACTTTAGAAAAACAAATTCAGTCCAAAACGATAACAAATGGTAGAGATACCAAGAGGCTCGTTTATTCTTCTACACTCATGATGTAAGTATATATATAAAAGACGTCCTGACTTGAAATATCCACTACATAATTATCTTTTTCTAGGCGTTAGAAATCATAATCTGTACTTAGGATTGGTTTTTCGATAGAAACTAAACATTATTTATTTTCTTCAGATGAATTTATCATGATTAATTCTTTTCTTTTATATATTTATATATGTTTGTACGTATGGGTCACTTTTTCCTTTTCTTTCCTAAACCATCTTTATTTATTCTATAATGAAACGACTTTTCTTGTTGTGCTTTTCTCTCTTTTCTTATTGCCCGTTATAACTTATGATTGCTGGCTTTCATACATTGGCTGATATTTGTATTATCGCCACCACTAATAACACATCCACTGAATATCAACTAGGACCATGATAAAATACATGCGCGTTCTACTCATTTATATATAAGAGAAAAAGAAGAAAAAAAGAAGTCGACGAAGAATTTTTTTTTCTACTGTACTCATATCTTCTAGTGTTGATCATTATTTCTTGTCACTTTGCTATCATGGCTAGGTTCATCATCACGTGTTTTTTATTATTTCTACCAGTTTATTCATTAGCTACAGGTATGAAAGATTATTTAATTAAAATAAAAAAGAAAGTGAAGGTTTACTTTTTCTTTTTCTTTTTCGGTTCTATAAATAGAACAAGTCAATGAAACTACTAGTAAATCATATGGATTTCAATCAAATATTGATTATATATATCATTATGCAACTGATGTTCATATGGATCATAAAATTTGGGCAGGTTCAGAAGAAAGTCACATAAAACGTCATACTGATGCAGCATTTCATTTATATGCTCGACTTAATTTAACGAGTGTTTGGCGTAGTGCAAATGGAGAACAACATTTATTAAAAATTGAAGTAAATTTGTTTTTTATTTTCTCATAAACAAAATAAAATTTATATGTCTATATTTTTTTTATTCATTTTAGTTAAAAGATGCTCGTTTTGTTAATCGAACTAATTCTCATAGTATGATCGATTGTTTAGCATTAAGTACTCTAATACGGTATCCATCGTTGTTTATGTGGGATCAAGGAACAATATCATTAATTTATTTTAATGAAAATGATAATTTAGCAGCTATTAATTTAAAAAAAGGAATCATATCTTTATTTCAATATAAACAAGATAATGCGACAGAAACAGATACATTAGGCAAATGTAATACTGAATATAGAATTTATGAAGATCGTCTTATAAAAGATAAAAGTGCATGTTCAAACATTCAATATAGTGATGAATATAGTAGTGCAAAACAATTTTTAAATTATTCAATGGATTTTCAATCAACATGTGTTTATACATTTGATAATTCAACAATAAAATCAGCTTCATGTTCGGATATGGCTTTTCCAAGATTAATTATTCCTGAAGTAGCTGGATTTCGTATTATGTCACGGTAGATTTTTTTGTTTTGCTTATTAAATTTTAGATTTATTTTTCGTTCTGTTTTATTAGATTAAGTGTTGATCTTATTGATAAAATAGACAATGATAAACGTCAAGTATATTCAAGTTCAGATGCAGCATTAAAATCAATTTTAGGTTAATATTATGATTTATATTTGAAATATATTGTTGTTTTTTATTCTATTGTTGATTAGGTGTAACACCTGAACAATATCATCCACTTGAAACAGAAAAACAAGTTCATCCATGTGATGATTATTGTGAAAAGGTAAATTACTGCTAATGTAACAGTCGAACAAAAATTAGATTTCATTGAATTATAGATGAATCGATAGGGCTCGTGATGCTGATTGTGGATATTTAGTTTGTAATTTTTAAGACCGTGTTTTTTAGTCGAACAAAAAAAGAAAATCGATTACTGTTGAAAATGATTCTCTCTAAGAGAAACAACTATTTTTTATTTTTATTGTGATATTTTGTGGCTTTTTATTTTTTTTTTGTCTAAAAAACGGTCTTAAAAATTTAAAGCTATATATCCGTGATCAGCATCATGAGCACCATTAATTGTTGTATAATTCTAAAAAATCTAAGTTTTGCTTAACATTTGCATCCTACGGAAGCAATTTATTATATGGTTTAGTTTTTATTTGTTTTAGTTTGATGAATTTATTGAAGACCATAGTAAAGAATTAACACGTTCAAATGTTGGTAATCGAGTAGCAAGTGATGTATTTTTACATTTAATTGCACTGACAAGAAGACAAAGTGAATCGACATTAAATAAAGTACTTGAAAAAGCATCAAAAACAATTAAGTAAATGATTTTTGTAAAATAAAAATAAATAGACAGATTGTTTGTTTTCTTTTTGAATAGATTAACACTTATTGAAGCATTTGTATCTGCACAAACACCTGCTTCATTAAATGCAGTTTTGAAACATTTAGATAGTTCCATGAATTCAAAGAATAAAGTTGAGTTAATTGAAGGATTTCTTATGACAAGTGCTTTTGCACCAAGACCAACGGATTTATTACTTGAAAAAATTTTGGTATCTAATTGATTGGATTTTAAAATTAATTTTTTTTTAATGTTTTATTTTGTTCTAGGAACGTTTATCAAAATTTACATCTATTGATAATCAACTTGAACAAAGTACTTATTTGACATTGGGAGCTATTGTTAATAAATTATTTGATTTAAACAAAAAATCATCGGTAAGTAGAATCAAATTTGAACAAATGACTTTGTCAGATATCATGATTCTTCTTGACAAATATGAAAATAACTAATTAATTTTATGCTTGAAGTTAGAAACGATTCATGCACGTCTGTTTCGATGATTGAATTTTCAAAAAGGAACAACATTTCTCATTCGAGAGACTTGTTATTCTTATCCCACAGGACAATAGTTATGTATATGGTTGGCTAACACAATAAAGTCTTTTCTTTGTGGTCTTCATCACCTTATCGATCTACAGAATAATCCCTTTCTTTTCGTTATAAACTATTTCTATTATTCAATATAGATTCATAGCTTGAATTTTATTATAAAAAGAAATAATATGTACTATTCTAGTGACTCTCTTTTCAATGATAAAATTGGTTTATTTTTTTTTGTATTGAGACAAACTTAAACAACAAAAAGATGTATTAATTAGTTTTTCTTTGCATTTAAGACTCCAGTAGAAGTTTTTTTTTTTTTTGAAATGAAACATGAGTAATTTATTTAGACTATTGAAAAATATACAACACTTCTTCATAATACGAAAAAGAAAGCCTTAGTTTATTTATCATTATATAATGCTAAACTTGAATTATATGAATCAATGATTGTCGATGAAATTCGTCGTTGTAATGATACAAATTTATGTTGGTTGGCATTAAATGCATTAACACAATATAATCCTGAACAATTTTCAAAAGAAATTATTGATATTCTTCGTTCAATTTATCATGAACAAGCAGGAAGACCAAAAACAAATATACAAATTCGACAACTTTGTGGTCAACTTTTACTTCGAACAGATATTTCAATCGGTGATCTTGTTAATCTTATCGTAAGATAGAGCAAAAAATTAAAAAAAAAACACTAAAAACTGATTCATAGTACTTTTATTTTTGTTTATAGCTTTCGGCTATTGATAAAACAAATCATCAATTAGGTGTTTATATGTGGCGTTTAATTTCTACAATGGCTGAGCATGATGAATTACTTTTGTATTATTTGTTAAACTTCATTTCATCGTATTCTTTTCTTTTTTTTTGTTTTAGTCGAAAAATAAAATTTATATTTAATGGTGGTTTAGTTGATATAACATATGATAGTTTAGCTTATAAAGGTCAATCAGATTTTTATCGTCGACCATTTGTACAAACATTTGGTTTTGGTGTTTATTATACAATATCACAATTAATGAGTCGTCTTGGAGCTTTACGTGAAAGTGATTTTGATCTTCATATACAACAATATGATAAAAAAGATAAATTCAATCTCTTATCTGTAAGTTTACAAAAAAAAAAGAAAAAATTCAAAATTATTATTGAGTTTTTTTCAGTTTGGTGTAAGTGCTTCAGGACTTGAAGCTTATGTTAGTGATGACGGAAAAGCAAGTGATACACCAGATGAAAATCTTCAAGCTGAATTAAGAATTACTCTTTTAAATATGCAATTACGACCTGTAGTATTATTTAGTGGAGTTACAGGATTTATGTCTGCTGTTTGGAGTGCACCATCAGAACTTACATCAGCATTTAAAGTAAAATATAGTTATAGTTTTTTTTAGAAAAAGATTATTAATTGATTTGTCTTTTGTGGAACTCACATCTATTATCGAAGAAAATAGTAAGTGTAAGTTTTGCAGCTCCTTATTTCTCATCTTAGCGACGGAAAAGACTCTAAAAGACATAGACTGTTCTAGAACATTCTACAGTCTTTCTCGTACTTCGAATACTTGGAATACATTTGCAAATGTTTTAAATAGTGGAGTTTTTTTATTTTGGCATTCCACAGTCGTCATAAAACCAACATAAATAAACCTGAAGTAATCAAATTTTAACTTTAGGAAATAATCATCATCAATATTTCTGATCTTATTGAGAATAATATTAAATTAAGAAGAATAGCATTATGAATAGCAGAATAATTAGCAAAGAGCAACAATCGAAAGAAAAACTAGAGCATCAGCAAAAAAAGAAATTTCTATTCGAAATACAACAATAAATAAGATGGATTGCTTCTCTACTAGTTCAAATCTTTGAAAGATTTTTCACTTTATGTTTTTGGCAGTATTATAATGAGGCTAAAGAATGCACGTGAGTTCCACATTTCAACATTAATGAAACTATGGCTAATAAGTTTGTTTGTTTTGTGTGCTAGAGTAATATAATGGTACATGATGTATCTCGTTATATTCATCTTCATAATGGTCTTGTTGTTCATTATGAAGCTCAAAGTGCAGCTTCACTTGATTTATCTGGTATGGCATCTATAAGTTTATGGAATAAAAATTCACATTCAGTTATTCGAGTCAGGTTTGTTGTATTAGTAATTAATATAATTATTTATTAATATATGCTTGTATATAATATTGTAGCTCGGGTCTTAGCGTACGTAGTCATGTTGATATCTTAAATGATTTTGTTACAACAGGCATTAATGTAACAATAAGTACCGATGTTGTTGTTGATTATACAACTGATGTTGATTATGCTGATACACCAATAAATGTTTGTATGCAAATGAGTGTAAAACCATCAAAAATTTAGTAAGTTATATTAAACTTTTTAATATGAAAATATTTCAAATAATTTTATTATTAGTGATCACGTGGAAAATTTTTATTCATTAAAACGAACAAAAGCTTTTCGATGGTTTGGCAATCGTACACGTCATTTTCTTGGTCAAGATTACACATTTACACAAAAGAATAATGACATGTGCCGACAAATACATATGATTAAATAGTTATGCTTCCGTCATTTTTTTAGAATAAAGAAAAATAAATTCATTATATTAGGTTGAAACATTATTGAAATGACATTTCTTTTTATAGAGGCAATATATCAGTCACAATGAGTAAAAAAATATTTATAGAAACTTATTAATTATGAAAAACTTATTCCTACTATTCTACAGTTTTCATATATTAATATAGATTAAATCTGTTTTAATTTTAGGAGATTATTTAGATACAAACAAAGGAAACAATCAAGTTATGATTTTGTCATCACTGTTATTTCATAGATTCTTTCAGTATAAATTTTGGAAAAAGTATAATGATAGAAAAAAAAAAGAATGGTTCACAAAAAACATTCGATGAAGAAAGCCGATTAATCAACAAAATTAATATTCAATATACGGAGAAAAATTAGTTGACATAGTGCAGCACTCTACCACATGATCTAAAAATCCCTTATTTTTTCTTAGGCACCTTACCGGAAGTCTCTGGATCGAGCCTTTCTAAATTTATTCAAGTGTGCTTTTCCGATAAAAAATTCTCAGTCAATCGAATCGGTTGGAGCTACCCAATACTTGTTCCTATATGAAATACATCCATCGTTTAGAGAAATTTCATGCAATGCTTAGGTAAAAAGTTACTTGATGAAGACACGTATAGTAGGATTATGAAAAATCGTTTCCTTGTTTATTAAAGAGTAGTAAAAAAAGTGGATGGATTCAGCTAAATAACTACAGTATTTAAGACCAAAATAAGGCTCGTCTTAACTACTGGACAGCATAATCGGACTAGTTTTAAATGATATTATTAATGAGACAAGTCGTCTAATTTTAGTCATCATTTTTTTAAATCATATAACTCACACCTATCTTGTGTGTAATCTAGTACTCAACGATTGGATCAGTTTCGAAGAATGATAACGAAAGTTAATGAAGTCATATCAACACAAGTTAAGTTATTTCCAGAAAATTTATGATTTAGCAAAAGAAAAATATTTATATGGAAAAGAAAAATTGCCAATTACTCCTTAACCCTTTCGAGGCGATGTGATTCTACAGGGTTTCCAAAAATATTTTTCCAAAGATTACAGCTCAAATGCAAAGAGATATACAAGTGATTTTTATATCAAATGAAAGCCCGTTAAAAACGGGATTTAAGAGTATAACTGATAATTCATAGGGTGATAATAAGCTATAGAATCACGGGCAGTTCCAAAAATGTTAGGGATGTAACTAGTGTGCTTCCATGGGTAGTCATCCATAAAAACAAAAAGTTCTCAGAAAATATCTTGGTCTATCAGACTTTGTGGAGCTATCTGCGCTGATCATTTTGATAAAAAAATATTCTAAATTTTACCAATAATTGACGATGCTATGATTAAAATACTGAAAAACGTTATAGCTCTAGCATATAGAGCAGCTTGAAATTTTTTAGTATTTTGACCATAGCACCGTCATTTATTGGTCAAACTTAGAATATTTTTTTATCAAAATGATCAGCGCAGATAGCTCCACAAAGTCTGATCGACGAAGACATTTTCCAAGAACTTTTTGTTTTTATGGATGACTGACCACTGCAAATTATAGCGTTGCCTACCGGTGGGCGACATCGCCTCGAAAGGGTTAATCATATTTTATATAGGTAAGTGAGAATAAGGCTTAAAACATTTTTCAATGAAAATACATTATTTTCTTTGTTAAACAGTAATAGTCTCATCACAATCTAAATTGATTTAACGAAAGTCTGTTATTATGCATAGTTATTATTTTTTTGTTTCTCTCGAATATTTCATTCTAATAAAAGAAACGAAAATTCAATGAAACACAAAAAAACGAAAATTTATGACTGAAGAGAAGACATTGGTGTTTTAAGAATATATTCGAATAGCGATCTTCGATTATTTTCTATAGAATAACGTTCAAGATATCGATATAAATGCCGTACTCTTGCTCGTTGACTGAATAAATATTCATAAACTTCATAGAATGATTTAACCAAATTTTTATCTAGATAAGCTGCATAAATTAGTGGACGTCCAGCTTCTGAAGCGGCCATTAATTGAATAATTGCTAAAAATAAATATATTTGAACAATACTTTATTTGATAGTTTGTTAAATTTTACCTTTCAATTGTCTATCGCCATTGAATGCACCACAACCCCAATTTCCAGTAGCAATACCAAACATATTTTCTCTTTCGATTTTCGTTGCTTGAGGATAGAAACTTGTGTAAGCTTTGATTAACTCACGTTGCACATATTTCATATCATATTGTAAGGTTGGATCATAAAAACAAACAGCATCCATTGCTACGACATGACACCATTTTCGACCCCAATTATCTCTAAATACGTGAAATATTTACGAAGACTAGTTTAATGATGGCAATGTTAAATTCAATAGATTGATATATATTTCTTTGAATGTTTATCATGTATCTATACTTATGAAAACTAAGTAGTTTACTATGTATTAGAATATTTCAAGAATTAAATTTTAATGATAACGTCTGTTATTCTATAAGAAACAAATCTAGTTTGAAGACCAATGTCAAACTGAAGAAAAAGAAAGTTTCAACATGCATCAAAAATATCTTCTCTATGATGATCATTAGTTTTATAGATTATAAAACACAATTATTATAAAATTTGATTGGAAAAATTTCTTACTTAGATGTGTTATCTTTATAGTCTCCATCAAATTGAAATGAGTTGGCATAACCTTTGTATGATGAATATTGTTCACATCCAATAAGAAAGATACATTCATTGACCTCCATCTTTTCACATACAAGTAAACTAACAAGCATTTCAGGACAAATAGTAAAACGAATTTCTTCTTGTACACAACCGGCACCTAAAACACCACCTCCCTAATTTTTTATACAATATTTCAGTAAGAAAAACAGCAATGAATATGATTACTTAGACACTTACAATATATTTATTAGCAAAATCAACCTAACAGCACAAAGAATTACAAATACATGAAAACTAATCGTTTAAGTTACCTGTAGAGCACATTTTACATCTTCGATTTTTTCACCCGTGGTCAAATGTATACCACAGAGATTTTTGATTGAACTTGACCAATCTGGGATGGAATTGACAGGTAATGAAAAGCGTCCAAAACTAATTACACCTTTGGGCACTAAATTGTAGTAGTGTTAGCACAGAGAGAGAGAAGTGAAATAATCCTATACTCACTTTCTTCTGTAATACGTTGAAAATAATGTAAAATACATTTGAGTTTTTCTATTTTTTGTGGAGGTCCATATTTGTATAGTCTTAACAATTAGATTATAGATTAGAAAATTATTAACTATGTAGTTTTACTGATTAAAATTTGGATCTTGAAAATTTTCATATTCATCATTCTGTTCATTACTAGAACGATATGGAAATAAACAGAAAAATGCACAAGCTAACAATGAAGCTGCTTGTTTTTGTGACATTGTAATTGAACGAGTCATTCCAATGCGTAATAATGGAAATGACTGAAACATTTTATATTTCATATATGAAAGCAAAACCTGACAAAAATCAATACTAGGCTACAAATTGTATCCACGTGAAGTGCAAGATTACACATTTTGGATAGAACAGTCGACATAAAATGAGTTCGTTCATCGTGTGAATAAATCTATTAATGATTGTCGATTAGCGTTTACAATTACAAGAAAAAAATCCCTTACTTTATTAATTAATGTTTCCAGACAATACATATCATAATGATGTCCAGCACAGTTTTCAATTGTCATCTGTTGTAATATTTCGTTTATTGAAATTACAGTATAAATGGAAAATAATTACTTTTAAATCTTCAACAGTAGCCTGTTTTTTATCACATTTTTGTTTGAGATGAACCAATTGATCAGCGATTATCGACCACATAGGCTGTCTATTTCTCTTTATCAATAGAAATTAATGTATAGAAAATATTGGGAGTATTTTAATTTACAAAAATATAGTTTTGTGAACATGGCATACGAACATAATTTTTATCCCATCGATCAACATAAAAACCTGAATACAACGGCTTTGGTTCATGATTGGGATGCAATGAATCATAAGTGAATGGCTATTCAAAACAAAATAATAATTTTACTTTCTTCAATAGAAAAAAATAGCTCACTGAAATCATAAATATATGTTTATTAATCTGATTTTTTTCCATATCGACCATTAGAGGAGGTCGACGATAAGAATTGATAATCATGTTCAAGGGTGTACCCTACAAAACAATATTTTGAAATGAAAACAGAACCGACTCGTGAAATTTACTTTTGATATTTTGTCATGAGTTTCATCTACATTGCTAATATCATCATTGAACGCAATTCCTACATTATGTTATGTGTAAAACTTTGTGAAAAAATTCTATTAAAAACGTGCGCAAATCTAACGTACTTCTCCTTGGAGTTGATACACGATCATCGCGTTTTATGCGTGGCTGTGAAGCACCAAATCGATCATGCATAGTATGACGTGAATCGTTTTGACTAGTTGAGTATTTTACTCCGAGTAAAATGAGAACCACGTGCGCTTTCTTTCACAACATAAGTAAAGTAGATGTTTGCCACTACCAACAAGGTATTTCTTTCGTGCACTATACAAATATTTGATTTTTTTATTCTTTTACTAGAAGAAAAAAACCTTATTTGAAAGCAAAAGGAGGATAGAGAAAAGAATAGTGACGTTTTTTTTTGCGAAATTCATACAATCAATATTAATAGATGCAAATGTGTCATATAATCGAAAAAGAATTGAAAACATGCGAAGACATAACTTGATCGATTTGATCAAATTTAATTATTATTAGATAATGTTTCCATGCTAAAGTTGGCATTTTAGCTTTGTTTGACTTTGAAAAAGTAAAGTAAATTTAATTACTTAAAGTTTAATGTTGATTTTGGAGTCTAACATTATAGTTTCATAATGGTGCAGCACCATTATCATTGTACGATGTTGGGCTAGAAAGTCAACGATTAATTTTAAGTAATTAAATTCATTTTACTTTACTGGCTAAAGCAAAGATATAGTACCAATTCCTATTCTATGTTTCGCTTTTTCTTCAAGTTTATTGTTATTATAAATGTGCTATTGAACTGGCAACGAACAAAATTCATTCAGTGTGATTGTTATGCCAATAGAGAAAATTTTTTATCTGTAGATATACACGACAAATCTCTTTAGTACGCAACATATTGTTTTCATTGAACATGATTTAATTACGCAAAGTTCAGTATCTACAATACATTTCTTTTTGTTTTCATATTCATTTTTAAGTATGAAACGGAGGATTTTAAGTAATATGTAGTTGATGAAAATGTACAGGACCAAGTTTGTTTGGTTTCGGTAGCTTCTTTTCAAGTGGTCTCAATCCCAGCGATTTTAGTTGTTTTGAGTCATCTCTATTGACTTATTTTCTCATTAATATTATTTACAAAAGTCTGCAACCTAAAGAGTCTCAGCCATTATGAATGCTAGAGAGCTGGATATTTTTGTGTACATACATTCATCCAATGTTTAGATCACAGACACAATTATGCTTCGACTGCTTAAGTGCCAAGATAATTATGATGAATGATACCTATTTTTGCATCAATCAGTTTAACCTGAAAAAGATTTCCTAGTCAATTTTGCACTACTTTCTTACCAAATTTACCCAAATATTGATATTTTCGGATATTTCTGAATTTTTCGCTTCATCATCAACACGATGGTCATAGCTATACAATTTTCAAATCAATAAATAGTTTGTTTATGACATTTTCAGGCACTAGTGCCCAATTGTAGGGGTAGCTTTTCTACGAGTGTGAGCTTCATTTACTGAGGTTGAGTGTCGGCGTGAGTTTGTTTGCAGATGGGAGCATAGGTCATGCGTTCGCGCACATCTACACCGACATTGACCTCCACACTCACACTCTAGGTAAATCGACCAGATTCATCTAACTATGATCCAAAGATTTTGATCGTATTTTGAAGTGCGAGTACCTTAAACAGATTTTACTTTTTTTTTTCTTGCCTATAAGATTGCAAAAAAATAAAAACGCTAGAAAATATATTTAAAAAGTGTTATTGAAGTTTTCTGCACGAAACCTAATTAGTTGTTAATTATAGACTTTGTTTGTGATCTCATAATGTTGAATCACCATTAGTTCCAATATACAGGGTGATTGAAAAGTATCTCTCTATTTTAAATTCTGTATTACTCTCAAACAACAAAAGATATCGTCCTGATTTTTTCACCATTTTGAAGTATGGACTATAACATTTTGTTCTAGATGAAACAAATTCATTGATGGTTTGGCTGTCTAAGATCAAACCCGAATTTTATCTTGACAACATCTGAAAAAAAACTCATTATTTTTAGTAGTTTATTATTTTTGTACTAGAACCAAGATGTGGGTGTGTGGGTTTGGGTGAACATTTTTGCATTGTTCAAACACACATTCCAACTTTACATACACACCCGACGCCTATACGCACACTCATACTCACATCCTGATTCTAGTACAAAAATAATAAACTACTAAAAATAATGAGTTTTTTCCAGATGTTGTCAAGACAAAATTCGGATTTGATCTTAGAGAGCCAAACAATCAACGAATTTGTTTCATCTAGAACAAAATGCTATAGTCCATACTTCAAAATGGTGAAAAAATCAGGACGATATCTTTCGTTGTTTGATAGTAGTAAAGAATTTTAAATAGAGAGTTACTTTTGAATCACCCTGTATATATACATATTCTGATTGAACATTTTTATTATAACTATACTTTTTATCTTGAATAATTTATATTAAGAAAAACAATATTAAGATTTAAGAAATGAAACAGGTATGTTCAGAATATATTCGAATAGTGACCCTCGATCAACTTGAGTAAAGTATTGTTCAAGACATAAATATAAACCTCCCACTGTTGCGTTGTGAGCTTTCAAGTATTCATATACTACACCAAATGAATGCACTAAAGTTTTATCACGATAAGCTGCATAGATAAGTGGACGTCGAGCTTTAGAAGCAGCCATTAATTGGATGATGGCTTAAAAAAAGAAAATATGCCCAGAAGAAAAACTTCATCATTGTAAATAAATCTATACCTTTCACATATTTATCACCATTAAATGCACCACAACCCCAATTTCCAGTAGCAATAGCAAATTCATAATCTAATCCTTGTTCTAGTGGACGAAAACTAGTGTAAGCTTTGAGTAGTTCACGATCTGCACAATGCATATCATATTGTGTCGATGCATGACGAAAGAAAATCGCATCCATTGCTACAAGATGACACCATTTTCGACCCCAATCATCTCTGACAATATGACGTATTTAGTTAAAAATATGAAATCTAACAGCAAAAACTAATTATTTTTGACTGAAAAAATTCAACTATCTTTTTGTTTATTTCAATTGTTTGTAAAACGCTATGAGATAGATTTGATTGAAAACATTTCTTACTTAGGTGTGTTATCTTTATAGTCTCCATCAAATTGAAATGAGTTGGCATAGCCTTTGTATGATGAATATCGTTCACATCCAATAAGAAATATACATTCATTAACCTCCATCTTTTCACATACAAGTAAACTAACAAGCATTTCAGGACAAATACTAAAGCGAATTTCTTCTTGTACACAACCGGCACTTAAAACACCACCTCCCTAATTTTGTTATAAAATACTTTAGTAATTGAAAAGCAACCGTTGTTCTTTGATACTTACAATATATTTATTAGCAAAGTCAACCTAAAACAGAACAAAATCAATGAATGTGTAAACATAGTCTTGATATTTACTTGTAATACATTATTGATATCTTCTATTTTTTGTCCTGTTGTCAAATGCAAGTTACAGAGACCGGTTGTAAAATCGGCCCATTGTGGAGAAAGATGTTTAGGTAATGCAAAACGTTGAACAGTAATGACACCATTTGGCACTAAATTTTACCAGCACTAAAGGAAGAAATGAACTAATCATACACTCACTTTTTTCGGTAATACGTTGAAAATAATGAAAAATACATTTGAGTTTTTCTATTTTTTTTGGATGTCCACTTTGATATAATCTTTAAATTCATAAGATCTCAATTTAAAAAAATAATAATAAATAAATGACATGTAGTTACGCATTGAAATTTGGATTTGGAAAATTGCGATATCCTTTCTTCTGTTTATTATCAGAACGATTTGGATATAAACAGAAAAATGCACAAGCTAACAATGAAGCAGCTTGTCGTTGTGACATTGTGACTGAACGATTTGTTCCAGTGCGTAGTAATGGTGGTGGCTAAAACATAGTATCTTTTATATAGGGAAACAAAATAAGACAAAGATCAATACTTGACTACAAATTGTATTCACATTAAGTGCAAGAGAACAAATGTTGGATAGAACAGTCGACATAAAATGAGCACGTTCATCGTTTGAATAAACCTTGAAGTAATCATCAACTAATGTGCATTGTGAAAATGAGAAAAAAACTTACGTCATCAATTAACTTTTGTAGAGAGTCCAAATTATAATGACAATGCGCACAATCTCGAATTGTTTTCTATCATAATAGTGTTAATTTACGAGAGAATTCATTCGATTGATAATCTCCGTTTGATTTCATATCTATGACTCATAGTGCAGATAAAAATATTGAAAAATATAATTGTAACAGGAAGTTTTGGTCTGAAATTCTCTTCAACCATAGTTATCATGGCTCGTATGATATCCTGAAATTTTCAGCTTAAAAGAATGATATCGTCTTACGAGGTCGTATGCTTAAAGCTAGGCCATTGTTGGAGCTCTTGTCTGAAAGTAACATATTTTTCAAAAACATGTTATCTGAGCAGGAAAACATCCGTTTGAGCTAAAATTTTCAGGCTACTATAAGAACTATTGTTGAGGAGAAATTTAGACCGAAACTACTTGATGTGGTTTCTCTCGTTATATCCTGCAATAGTCTGAATGATCAGTAAAATGACCATAACTGGGGAAGAAAAACTTAATTTTCATGAACCCTTCCAAGATTTTAGTCTGCAGTTTGTGTATTACCCATGAGTTCAAACGGAAAGTATTAATCGAATGAGTTTCTTTGTTGTTTATACAAACAACTACATTATTGTATTCACTTTTAGATCTTTTATGGTAGCCGTATGATTATCACACATATTCTTAAGATTAATTAATGATTGCTGATTAAGTAACCATATCGATTGTTTATTTCGCTTCAATAAATAGAACTCGAATAATATTAAATAAATATGAGAATGATAATCATTTACAGTAAGATTGTATGATGAATATGGCATAAAAACAGGATCTGAATCCAATTGATCAACAGATCGATTTTGAACACAACTTGTTGAAGGTTCACGTTCAGGATTTGATGGATCATATTTGAATGGCTATTAAAACAGATAAAAATTATTCTCATAATATTAAATGTTTACTGAGATCATGAATATAAAATTATTATTTTGAATTTGTTCCATATCTTGTACATATGGTGGTTGAGGATGAATATTCAAAATTGTCTCTAAGGGTGTACCCTAGAACAGAATATGCAGACATGAAAAAAAAAATATTATAAAACTTACTTTAGATATTATCTCTACAATTCCTTCATCATTGAGACAAGGGTCAACTATTTCTATATATAAATCTGTTAAACAAACAATATGTATTTATTAAATAAAAAAAAAACGTCCAAGTGCAATCATGACTTACTTTCTTCCGAGGTTGACTCAACATCATCAACCTCTTCTTTATTTTGTTGTAAATCTAAAGGTTGCTCGGCCATATTGCAGAACTTTTTATGAAGTTTTTTTTTCTAAAATTAATTTATTTAGACAACATCTGATGATTTAATCCAGACCGCAGAAGAAAAAAGAATCATTTGCTATTACCCAAAACCTTCAGAAAAAACGAACATAGTTTTTTCTAAAGAAAATGTTACGAGTAAATGGATGCGTGCACAATGTACACACTTCATTTATTTTCTTTCGCTATTGAAAAAAACCTATCATGAAGCAGAACAGAAAAAAAAACAAAAACAAACGCATGAGGTTGTGTGAGCAAAACTTGAGAACTGTTGAAAGCTAAAGCAATTGCTTTTTTTTATGGAAAGAGTAATGTTCGAGCTACGAATTTCGCACCAAACATATTTTTTCACAACGAACTTCCGAAAGTGGCCAAGTCAAAAATCTAAGCATCTTGGAAAAGTTGTTGCAACTTGGAAAGCTGCTATTTTCAATTAGTTTGGGCTGCATGAATTAAAACTATTAAAAAAACGCATAAAAACATAGCTCATCAAAACCTCTATCATCTTATTTTTGTTAAAATTTCTTAGATTCGTTCCATACTCTTCAATGAAAAAGATTTGAAAAATGAAATGTTTCTAAAATAAGGTCTGTATCTAGAACTATAAATTTCAAAGAACATCGACCATTATCTCCAAAAAACCATGCATGAACTCAATTCTTTTTTACACTATATATCCGAAATATGTCCGATCATAAAAACTTAGCTTAGAAAAAAAGATAATTTAAAAAATAACTTTTACCATCACAATATGGCCAGATAGTTTGTGAACGACGAAATTATTTCATCTCTCTCACTAAAAGCGATCGTTTGGTACAAAAGCAAGAGCAAATTTAACTTTCAATGAAAGCCCATCAGATCGTAGTCTGAACTTTTTCTGTTAACTGAAGTCGAATGTTTTAGATCGATGGACTGTAATCGTCCTAGAGATGAGTAGGGTACCCTAGTCACCGAATACAAAAACTGCGAATTTGCTTCTCTTATCGTCAGGACGATTATTCAATTTCGATTAGAAAATTTCATAGAGAGTATCATGGTTTTGGAAAAATATGTTTCATACAAAATTTATAGTTAAAACATTGCTTTTTCCAGCAGAAACATATTTGATTACTGTAGAAGTCAACAATATAATCTAATAGAGTTTGACATTTTTTTCCATTTCTTTTGCAACATATGTTATGAGTAAATGCAGTTGTTACCTAAGAATCTTTGTGTGCATGTTTTAAAGTATCATGTAGATGAATAAACTTTAATAAATGACAAGGAAGACAATAAAATGATTTACAATTATCAAATAATTTTAAGTGACTAAGACTAGCTGTAGCTAAGCAGTAATAAAACTTACGATATTTGAATATAAGAACATGTCATCATGTTTTTACAACGATGATATAAAAGGTAATACGCTCATAATTTTAGAAATGATCAAATTATATATAGTATATATTGTGATCTTTTGTATCTTTTTTTCTGTAAACTATTTCTTTCTTCACGGATGTATCAGAAGATATATTTCAAAAAAAACCAAAAGATAATTAATATTAACACTTAAGTTTGGAAACAGATGTCATAAGAATGTATTCAAATAATGGCTCTTGATGTTGTTCATCACAATATCGGTGCAGATAATAATACAAATCCCTCACTGTTGCTCCTTGCTCTTTCAAGTAGTCATGAAGCACAGAGAATGATGTGATCAAATTTTTATCACCATAAGCGGCATATATTAATGGACGTCTAGCCTCGGAAGCAGCCATCAATTGAATTATTGCTAAAATTTTATGATTATAATAGTATCTTAACTTTTTTTACAGAACAATTTATACCTTTCAATTGTCTATCACCATTGAATGCTCCACAACCCCAATTTCCAGTAGCAATACCAAACTCATAATCTGATCCCTTTCCGAGTGGACGAAAACTTGTATAGGCTTTAAGTAATTCACGTTCGATAAGTTTAATATTATATTGATCTGAAGGTCTACGAAAATAAATAGCATCCATAGCTACTACATGACACCATCTTCGACCCCAACTATCTCTAAAAAACATAACATGATAGGAAGTTGTAAAGAAACAAAAAGACTTTTTATTCAAATCTCGACTTTTTTCTTCTTGCAACAAATCAGATCAAGTGCTTCAAGTTTTACGAAGAAGAAGAAAGAAGAATATTCCTGCTTGTTAGCTGCCATGTGGTATAGGATGCTACCTAGCGACAGATTCAGTAGTCCGATATCTTTCCCATACACACCAACTAACCACAAGAACAGCTGTATGTCATAACGTAGTCAGTATGCTATTGTATGGGTGATTCTAGATAAATAGCCGTTAGTGATTTGTCCACGGTCATTTCATGGTTAGTGATATTGAGGTTTACACACACTACGCTATGGATGTGTTGAACAACAGTCACTCAGTCATAGTGACTAAGTCAAGTTTTAGTTGTAATCGAGACTGAGAGAAAAAAATGTTATACCTAGGTGTCTTATCTTCATAATTTCCACCAAATTGAAATGAATTGGCATAACCTTTGTATGATGAATATCGTTCACATCCAATAAGAAATATACATTCATTTTTCTGCATCATTTCACAAACAAGTAAACTAACAAGCATTTCAGGACAAATAGTAAAACGAATTTCTTCTTGTACACAACCGGCACTTAAAACACCACCTCCCTAATTTTGTTATAAAATACTTTAGTAATAGAAAAGCAACCATTGTTCTTTTGATACTTACGATATATTTATTAGCAAAGTCAACCTAAAAAAACAAAATCAATGACTGCGTAAAGGTAGTCTTGATATTTACTTGTAATACACTATTGATATCTTCGATTTTTTTACCCGTTGTCAAATGTAAATCACAGAGGCCTGTGTTTAAATCAGGCCATTGAGGAAAACGACTCCTGGATAATGCAAAACGTTGAATAGTAATGACACCATTGGGCACTACAAATGAAATGACAGAAATGTATTAGACAAAGTTATTATAAACAAACTCGTTTCTGTAACACGTCTAAAATAATGTAAAATACATTTGAGTTTTTCTATTTTGCTTTGAGGTCCATGTTGAAATAATCTTCAAAAATTGACGATAATACTATGAGCAATAAATAATTAAAATATATAATTACTTACGTTTCAAAATTTGGATCTTGGTAGTTTTCATATTCTTTGCTTAACGTCTGATGAGAACGATTTGGAAATAAACAGAAAAATGCACAAGCTAACAATGAAGCAGCTTGACGTTGTGACATTGTAATTGAACGATTTGTTTCAATACGTAATAATGATAGTGGCTGAAAAATTATAAATCTATAATTTTTCATGAAAATATTAGGTATAAATATACCTGAGAGCAAACTGAATCAATATGTAATACAAGATCACACATTTTAGATAGAGTAATATACATGAAATTAGCGCGTTCTTCATCAGAATAGATCTTGAAATAAGAATGAATTGACAAAATAAATACAATTATAATAAAGAACTAACTTTCTTAATCAGCTTCTCTAAACATTCCATATCAAAACGACGTCCATTACACGTTTCAATTGTGGCCTAGTATATTTTTTTTGTTTATTCGAATAAAATTTTAACTCATTACTTTTAAATCTTTAAATTGAGCCTTTTGACTAATGCATTTATCTCTGAGAGAGGTCAACCACTGACAAATCAAAGGCCATATGGGTTTTCGATTACTCTTTATCAATAGAAAATAATATAAAATAATAACAACAATATGTCCTAACTGACAGATATATAGAATCGTGACCATGGCACACGAACATGATCATCATCCCATAGATCATTATCAACACTTTCATCATTGCTAGGTCTCGGTTCTTGATCCGGTCGAGATGGATCATATCTCCATGGCTAAACAACAATAAACAATCAATTTTACAATAGTAAAATTTACTTTAATCGTAAAAATGAAGTTTTTATCATCAATATCTTTCATAGATTTAACAATCGGTGGTTTTAGCCATTTATTGGTAATTGTATCAAAAGATATGCCCTAGAATATATTATATAGAAGAGGTCAAAGATTCGTATATTTCACTTTTTGTATTATTTCATCAGGTCTGGTTCCATTAATAAAAGCATTATACATCTCAATCCCTATATAATTCGATTGAATATATATGAAAAAATTATTTTTTTTTTGAACAAAACAATTTAAAACGAAAAACAGAAAAGAAACTTACTTTCTTCTTGTGTTGCTTCGAGATCATTGCGTTCTCTTCCATTAGAAAATTTTCCACGTGTAGTTATATGTTGATGACGCATACCAGGATTGTCTGCAACGTTGTCAACTCTAGAAGCGGTTCCACTCGGCATGCATCCCATTGAGTGATAGAAAATCAGCCAACTATTTTAGAAAATTCTGTAAGAAAAAAAACAAGAAATTTGTATTTATAAAGAAAAATGTAGTGAAAATGTTTCTTCCTTGCTCTCCATGTCGACAGTTCATTCTCTTTTTATACTTTTTCTTTGTGTGGCATTGACGATAACTTCATTTCTTTTTCGCTCTCACAGTTTGCGTGTAAGCATGCTTTTTTTTCTTTTCTTTGTGTGATAAGAAAAAAAATTTGACGACATACATAAAATAAAGAGAACCGATAAACCAGGTTTTGTTTTTACATAATCTGCAAGATTTTTGATAATTCAGGGTTTAAATTCCTAGTAAGTTATTGAAACATAAATGCAATTTAAAAATTTTTTTATTCAAAAAGAAATCAGCAATACTATTAAAATGGTCAATCGTATAGCAAAAATGAAACTTTTTATTAATGAAAAAAATCCACACACTATTATCAGTCATTTTAGTATTCGATTGAATAGGAACTAAAGTCACCCTAAATTATGACGGTTTTTCTTAACAAGATTCTTGACATTTGGAAAGAGATAAGAAATTTCAGCATCAATGACCATATTTTTGTCATCGCCATAAGTAATATTCAATTGTTCGATACGAGCTAATAAAGTTTTGACAAATTTATCTTCTTGTTCATGTTTCAAAATATCATGTAGAAGTGATAATTCAATATCGAGTTCGAGACAAATTAAATTTGGAAAAAGTTGAACAAACCGACGAAAGGTTTTATAATCATTAAATGGAGACCATAAAGATATGCAGAATTTTGTAACGGATCGTATTTGTAAACTAGTATCTAAAAGAAGATCTCCATCCATAACTGTAAGATTTCTATCTTTTTCATCTTCACTTTCATCTAAAAGATCAATAATCCAACGGGTTAAATTAATTGTTGTAACGTTTGGAAAAACTTTTTCAATAAATAGGAATGTTTCTAGATTTAATGGTGTTGTAGGAATGAGTGAGAGCATGCGAACACGTTCAAAACAAATTGAAATTGATCGATTTGATACACAATTTAAAACAAAATCATTTGAAAAATATTCAAACTATAATCAATAAACAAGATCAATATGTATTATTTTGTACTTGTTAATCAACATCTTACTTGATCAGATTTGTATGGTAATGTAAAAATCATATGTTGTTTAGCATGAACATCATTCCAGTACGCAATAGGATTGAATTGTTGCCAAGCAAAACTTTGAAATGTTTCGATTTCTATAGGATCATTACCAACTAATGGTGAAAAAATGATTAAATCAAGTGAAGATAAACGTGGCATCTTGTCAAGTAGTCTATGCTCAAGTTGTTTACCATCGAATAAGTCATATCTAGAATCGATATTCATTGAAAGATATTCAATTGTTGATCCAAATGTAGCAAAGAAATTTTCCATATGATTAAAATATTTGATCCAACCTGTAAAAGTAACAGAACGAAGTTTATTACATGGCTTTACACCATTTGTATTAGGTGCTGTTTGAACAATACATTCTTGACTGTGAATTCTAACCTAGAAATAAAAATTATTCAAAATTTGAAATAAGAAGAACATAAATTTAATCAAACTTTCAATTCTTCAAGATTGGGTAAATGTTCAATAAGTATAAATACTGGATTCATTCCTTCTAATTCAATTGAGAGATGTGTTAATCGAGTACAAGTTTCAATATCATCATTAGAAATATATAGAACACAATCCTTTATGATAAGATGTTTCAATTGAGAATCAGATCGAAACAATAGACTAGTTAGATCACTAAATTCATTATCATCAGGTTGTACGATTGACAACTTTTTTAAATTTCGACGAAGATGAGCCATAATTTGTTCTGAAAAATCAATTGAAACATTCCAGTTAGTCACTTGCATAGATTGAATATTAGTTGATAGTAAATGTTCTGATATGAGAACTAAATGATTCATTTGTAGACGAAGCGCAATAATTTTATTTTTTGTCAATATATTTGGTAGATAATTTTGAATCCATTCATTAGATTCTTGAGAAATATCTAATCGTGCAATAAATGGTTGAATGAGAGCTTGAAGTCGTCGTGATTCAAAATCAGAAAATATTTTTAAGAGATCAATTGCGCTCAAATATTGAAAAATACATGGAAAAAGTTCATTTGGTAAGTCAAAAAGTGATGTTTTCGATGCCATGAAAAAAATAAGACTATTTTTATTTCACAGAGTAATGAAGTGTTGATGACTTCTTTTTATTTCATTCTATCACTACACATGTTAAAAAACAATCCAAACACAAAAATCAACATACAAAATATTACCATATTGTCTAGCTATTCAAGGACAATAGAGTTACTATAGAAACATAATAACAAAAAAGTAGCCAATAAAAATAAAACAGTAAGTTTTTAAACGTTATATCATTGTCAGACATTCTTCTAGCAAAAAACCTTATTCATAATATTACAGTTTTCTTATTGTTCGATTGAAAAAGTTGCTTATTAAGATTTCTTCTTGTCAAAAATCGTAGTTTTCGACAAAAAAAAACGATTTTGATGTTTTTATGTGGTTGAATAGTCGTTATTGTTTACCTTCAAAACTAGTACGATTTGTCAAAATTTGGATGCTTTTTCACAGAATTTACTGATAATGTTGACAAGGGAAATAGCTATTTTTTTAATGACAATATGAATTATTGTTGCCTGCTTAACTTTTTCTAAAGTTTCCTATAATGAAGAATCTAAGAAAAATGTCTGAAATAATTAGGAAGCGTTGGAAGTCTTTGAACAAATGGAGTTGTACACTGTATTTCTCTTCCTAACAGTCTTCATTTAATTCTATACTTATTTTAATGGTATTATGGCAGAAGAGACGTCTTCTAACATAAGTGTGAGTTCTCTTCTCTTTCTTAGGCGTCATTGTTTCACATTTATAATCATTCCTTTCTTCTTCTTTTCATGTTTTGTTTATTTAAGCAACTGATATTATTAATGTGGATGAGCAAAATGAATAATCACAACCCGTATCTCAAGTTTTTTTATATGATAGATTCAAACTTTTAAACGTTTTATAAATACGCGTAAGTCTTCGTCTATTCCACCACAGTTGATAATAAATGGTAGATTATAATTGATGTATTTCTTCTATTGTTTCACGAAACAGAAATATGGATTTTCAATTGAAAACTTTATTTGGTGTTTTTCTCAAAACGACTCTTCTTTTTATTAATCGTGCGTCCAGATTGCTGATCCATTTGATATGCTAGAAAGCTCAGAAAAATTTTGAATTAAAGAGAAAATAGTGCTTCACAACTTAATAAAAACAGATCTTTCCATTGTGACAACATTTTGGAGAAAAAACGGATTTTTTTTCCAAAGGATTAACCATATATTTTCGAAAAAAACTGATACAAAAAAATTGATACGAAATATTTGAAAAATCATGTTTTGTTCAGTTCAATCTTTCATGTCAAGACTAATTTACTTAACTTAAGCTCAATCCACATCCAAGAAATCATGAAGATCAATCATTCATAGAAAAATTGTTTCATGGACGATCATAGCTATAATTCCTGGCTACGCTACTACTCTCCTGTTTCCACTGTAGCTGAGAATAACTTTTTGCTGCCTCAGCAAAACACATATGCGTGTGATGTGGACATAAGCTATTACATTTTCTTCGATTCTTTCATAACTATTATTTTTCCATGAACATATTTCAGTAATATTTCAACAAAGAAAAGGTTCAAAAAAATCTAGACGAGTGATTTGTCTGTACAAAGATCTATGAAAGCAGCCGATGTTACAATCATTTTGCCTCACCCGACGTATATATATATTTTTATTTTAAAATAAAAAAAAAATCGTTCTTATAAACTACCATTTTACTAATAATTTTTTATTACATTATCACTGATGTACAAAAATTTGTTAACGGTCATCATGACCAAAAATTATTTGAGCATTTGGAAAGAGAATTTTCATTTCTTCATTGCTTAAGACATTTTTTTCATCATAAAAACGAACCATTTGTAAAATTTTAATACGATTTAATGCACTTCGAATAAAATTATCTTCATTTTCATGTATTAAGATTTCATGAAATAACGGTCGTCCAATAAACATTTGTAAAGAAACTAAACTAGGTAAAAGATGAAGAAAACGACGAAAAATTTGATAATCATCATATTGTGATTGTAAAAGAAAACAGAATTTAGTAATCGAAGGTAATTGTAAATTATTATTTGAAATAAAAACATCACTCATGGGACAAGTATGTCTAGTTCGTTTATTTTCGTGTTGAAATCTTGATAATTTGACTGGATTTTTTAATTCAAGTGTTTCAATATTTGGAAATGCTTGTTCAATAAATTCGAATATTTCTAATCTTAATGGTGTTGTAGAGATAAGTGAAAGTATACGAACACGTTCAAAACAAAGAGAAACTGTTCGATTTGATATACAAGATGAAATAAAATCATTTGAAAGATGTTCGAACTAAAAAAATAAGATAAAAAATAACTTTTCAGCGCAACTCATTTGAGACTAGAGTGTGGAACTCACATGTGCTCTTTACTGTCATTATATTCATACAAAATATGTCATATGAAAAGTCTCTAGCAGACTGTAGTTGTTTTATAAGAATAATTAACCACTAGAAAAACGATCTGTCTTATTTATTTTTGCATTCTGAACAAAAAGTTTTTCTATTTTTAGCGTGTCTTGTTGCTATTCGCTCATTTTTTTTCGATTTTCGTATTCTATTTTTCTTAATTTAGTATTATTATTACTTTAGTCGTCGATTTAACTGACAAATAAACTTGTTCTACGTAATCATTATATCCACATCAAGTCTCAATACACTCTTATATATCTCAGTACGTTCACAAACACTGATATCGACTATTTCCTAAAGTTACAACTTGATCAGTTCACATTTTTTATATTGATTATATGATGATGGTGACAAATCAATGCATTTCCGTATCTAGACTTCACAGCGATCACCTAGATCTTCGCTGAATTCATATCCTTTTAGTGCTTTTGTCAGAAGATTATATAGTATCTACCGACAGAAAAATCATGAAAATGAAAAGAGCGCAGCTGAAGAGATTTCTTTGTAAGTCTTGTTGTTAATATCGTTTTTCCGTTATTAAGGAGGTATGGGAAATGAATCTAATGCCTGTTGCTCTTGATTGTTATGACAAGAAGTCATAAAGTCTTGATATTAAACTTACACTCATTATATTTTTCTTCAAATAACATAATGTAAGTTCCACAAAAGAAGAAATAATTAAAATGTCTATTTCGCTTAAAATAATTTCTTACTCGACTTGATCTATATGGTAATGTGAAAATTGTATGTTGATGAGCATGAATATCATTCCAATATACAATAGGATTAAAATTTTGCCAAGATGAATTTTGAAATGTTTCAATTTCTATTGGATTACAATGAGTCATAATTGAATGAATGATTAGATCAAGTAATGATAAACATGGCATTTTACTCAATAATTCTTGTTCAAGTCGTTTACCATCGACAATATAATACATCAAGTCAATATGGATAGTTAAACATTTAATTGTTGATCCAAATATAGTAAAAAAATGTTCGACATGTTCGAAATATTTCGTACAACCTGTAAAAGTAACACGATGTAATGTTTTACACAAGGTTACATTTTCAGCATAGGATGTCGGTTGAATTATACGTTCTTCCATTCGAAATTTAACCTACAAATGAAACACAAATAAACAATAAATAAATTATTAAAAAAAAACATTACAGTTAACCTTTAATTGCTGAAGATTGGGTAGATGTTTTATAAGTATGAATACACTATGCATTCCTTCAAGTTCAATTGATAGATGTGTCAATTGAGTGCAAGTATTAATTTCATGTTTATTAAAAAATAGAAAACGCCCAATAATATTAAGATGTTCAAGTTGAGAATCAAATTTAAATAAATAACTACCAATATCTCCTTTTCCATGAGAACATGTAAATGTAATAGAAAGTTGTTTTAAGCGTTGTCGAAAATGATCAAGTCCTTCTTTTAATAAATCAGTATTCCAATCTGAGCTAAATACATGAATTGAGTGAATTTTACTTAATAGTAAATCTTTCGAAATGAATTTAATATGTTTATCTTGTAAACGAAGAGCAACAATATTTTGTTGATTGATTAAAATCGGTAGATAAGTTTGAATCCATTGATCAGTTTCTTGAGAGATGTCAAGATGTGAAAGGAAAGATTGAATGAGTGCTTGAATTCGAAGAGATTTTACATTGGAAAATGTTTGTATCAAATTTGTAGACTTTAAATATTGAAAAATAAATGGAAAAATTTCATTGGGTAAATCAAGTAATTGTGTTATTGTCATTATCTAAAAAGAATGTTTTATTATGTCGGACACTAATTGGTTTCAAAAAACTCAACAGTACACAAACATGACCATACATCTAATCTGGTATTTCATTATTATTATTTTATTTTGTTTTGTTGTTATGCATAAATCAATGTTGTTTTCCCTTGGAACTTTTGCCTATGTCAGTAAACTTCTAAAACAACGTGCTCGTAAATAAAGGAAAAAATGAAATTTCTGTTTCATCACTGTTAAAATAGAAAAATGATGCTATTTGATATGTTTTGTTAAAAGAAAAAAAGAAAAACTCTATTAAATTAAGTAGATCGTTTTTCTTTTGTTTATCAACTAAAAAGCCAATAATCTATGCCTTCACGTAGATTCATTGAAGCAAGATTTGTTTCAAAATCATTATTTGTTAAACCCTAAAAATAAATAAATCTATTATAGAATGTTCAAATAATCAAACTCACAAGTTTGACACAAATAATAATTGGAGGAATGGCTTGTATAAAATGAATAACTGGAATACGACGTTTCTCCTATTAAAAAAAAATGATTATATCTGTTGAAGATGATCAAACAATAAATTTGTTTACTTTAGATAATTCATCCGTATAAAATCCTTTTGAAATTTTTTTTTGATCCATATCACAAAAACAAATAACCTAGAAAAATATTTTTTTTTTTTGGAAAATAAAAATCATTCTTAATTAACCTTTTGTTTATTTGTATCATTTAATGATCGATAAAATTTTCTTCCCTTCAATATCAATAATTTTAATAATTAAAAATTAAACAAAAAACAATTTTTACCTGTTTTCCTGCATTCCAAATAGTCAAACCTTCAAGATTATTAATTATATTTAATTGAATTTCTTGAATACGTACTGACCATATAACATCTCTTTAATTGAAAAAGCTTTTAGTGCAACCCATATGAAATTAAAATATGAAAAATGATGTAACTGCTCTTGCTAATCACTGGAAGATTAAAGAAATACAATAAGAAAGTACTTCATGTATTAGAAGAAGACATTATAGATATACGGTCGGTAATTGTATATCAACAACGACTGTCACGATCTGTGGAGCAGAGTCCACCAGATTAGTGCCATACTCGATCGAGTCCGAAAGTTGTGAACTTGATAGACTCTACTCCGGAGGGTCCACATTTTTACCTCTATACTTAATTGTTCCTTTTAGACCGTGTTTCACAAAATTTTCTTTCACATCACTTATAGATTTTGTTACTTACTCATGTACGGAAAACGTTGTTGCTTCTGGATGGTATCGATAATAAAGAAGAATTTCATTGACTCGATATAATCGACCGCCCATAAAAAGACAAAAGAAAAGTTTTTGTTTACGATCAAGATGTTTCAAATAAAATACTTTACCATTACGAAGATGTTTAAAAAAGAATGTTAAATCTTCACAATGACCCTGAGAAAAGAAATTTCGAATATCATTGATTATGATATAAATATATATTAAAAGACATATTGACTTTAGCAATTTCATCAAAGCCACCTAACCGATCGAACCAAGATCTTGAACAAAACCAAGTTGGCATAATAAGAGTTGGTCCATGTGCCAAATATATCTAATACAAATAATAAATATTGATGAAATTTTGAATAATAAGTCTTATCTAACAACACAATATCTTTTTTTCTATCTATGCTATCATAAATATTATGATTAAAAACAGTATGTTTACTTGTGTATAAAGTTGTTCTTCCGTTAAATTATTCGCCCATTGTGTATATCGATCAGTTGATCCTTCTGGAATTCGTTCATATTTCGATCCGACTAAGAATAATAATCATAGAATAAAATTTGATTAATAATAAATATACTCAATATTGCATCATCTTTTTCATTGATAGCTACATGATATTGTTTATGAATTCGATTTGGACACATAAGATCATCCTAAATAAATATATTTTTCAAAATAAAAGACAATAAGAATCATCTTTCTATACAGCATCTTGAAAACATAAAAATCGACCTGATGAATATTGAACAGCTCGATTTTTCCCGTAACCCACTAAAACAAAGCAAATTTTCAAACACTACTATTTAATTTTTCTCACCACCACGAGCTTCGTCATCTTCATGTCCATGAATAATTAATTTATATTTCAATTCTAATCGTTTTCTCCATTGTTCAATTATATTTAAAGTTTCATCCTAACGATAACAAAGATGAAAAAAAACAGCCTAAATAACTCTCAATGAAAAAACTAAAACAACTTGCTGAACTGGCATCATTATAAATAGATAATTCAATATTAATATTCTCAATGATTTGTTTCATTAAACTTTCATATGTTTCATTTAACCATGGAGCAGCATTTCTCATTGGCATTATAATTGACTAGCAATCAACAATCAATACAACAAAAATTTCTAGTTATCTTTTGTTTTTCTTTTTGCTCTTATCAACATACCACATCAATCGACATTATTATTTTTTCTTTTCTAATATCTGTAAAAAAAAACAAAGAAACATTTACAAGTACATATTGTTCGTTTTCTCTAATAATCTTTTCATTAAATTAAATCCATCGTACATCACAGATAGAATACAAAGAAAAAAAAGTCGAAATTATGAATAAAGAGATGATACAGATGTTTGAAGAATATAATCAAATAATGGTAAGTTTTTATATAAATTCGAATATTGTTGAAGATAGGTACATAAATCTTTTACTGTTGCTTTTTCATTTGATAGGTGTTCATATACTTTATGGAATGACATGACTAAATTTTGATCACGAAATGTTAAATAAACAAGTGGACGTCCAGCTTGTGAAGCAGCAATTAATTGTATCATTGCTAAAAACAAAACAAAGAAATCGAATAGTTCATATTTAAAAAAAAAACTATTAGTATGCTTCATTTTCACACATTCTCGAAACTTGATAGTAAGCTCTATTACAGTAAGATTGTCATCTGTACATTCTTTAAGATGATATTCAATCAGTGAAGAATGCAGGTGTGTTGATAGACCTTCTATCCACCCACAACCATAAGCCAAATTGTTCAAGGCAAAAAATAGTCGATAAATTTATAATAAAAAAACAAAAACAGAATATCAGTTCATCAATAATCTGCAACCTTTCTAATTTTTCTGGTAGTACCATGTAAAAGTAAAAGCATGCACCCCTACACATCGACACTGATGCAGGCGTATTCAGTTTTGATCTCGGCCAAAAACCGTTTTGGTTCTGGTTTCGCGCTTAGTAATACATATGTTGGAGGTGCATTAATTTGTTTCTAATGCATTAATACTTCATCTATCCTGTACGTTTATATGTTCGATAACTCTGTTATTGACAAAAGAAAAGGAGTCATTCGCCTATCAAAATTGTAATAGAAAATATTAAAGTGAATGTCAATCTATAATCTTCGCATAAACTTTTAGGATACATGAGTCGCGAGAATATGATATTTGACACAAGCCTTAAACAACCATAAAGGATATCACTTTTAATGAAAAAATATTGGTCCTAGTCTCAGTAGAATTGGGATCATCTTGCTTACATCTATCCGCACTCCCACACCATTCTTTTACTAAAAAATATCTGGACTATTTCGATCTTTTCCTTTCCCATATAGAACGATGAAGCCAATAATTGATCATTAATTGTAATTAATTAATGAGAAATATAAAAGGGGACGACTTCGGAACTATTTTATTATAGAATGAATTTATTAGGATGTCCATAGCCTCATGCAGGGTACTTTCCATTTACCTTTCAATTGTTTATTTCCATTAAATGCACCACAACCCCAATTACCCGTAGCAACACCTGATTTTTGATCAGTTACTGCTGCTGGAACACGAAAACATGTATAAGCTTTAATTAATTCTCTTTTCATGTTTTTTATTGTATATTGTGTTGATCGATTATGAAAAGCGATAGCATCCATCGCAACAACATGACATAATTTTCGACCCCAAGAATCTCTAAAAAAAAAGATTGTTCATTTTTAATATTATATTTAAAAAGCAATTCATTGGTTACTTTGGAGTTTGATCGATATAATTTTCTTTAAATTGAAATGTTCTTGAATAACCTTGATATGATGAAAAACGTTCACAACCAATAAGAAAAACACCTTCATTTGGTTGAATTACTTCACATAGAAGTAAACTAATAAGCATTTCAGGACAAATAACAAAACGTATTTCTTCTTGGACACAACCATCACCCATTACGCCTCCGCCCTACGAAAAAGAAAAACTTCGCATTAATTTATTTGAAGACAATTGCCTTTAGGATGTGGATGCAATTGAGAAGAAGATTCACACTAATACTCATGCATATTTTACAAAGAAATACTGATCTATCATTGAAAAACACAAGATTTTATTTGAATTATTTGTTATTAAATATAATAGTTATCCAGTCATCTTTCAATACATGTCACATTTACTTAGATCTTTTTTTGATGCTTATTATTCCTATTCTCTCTTTTAAAAGACTAATTGTTATTGATTCTGCTTTGCCATATATTGATATCTAACGCGAGAATATATCCGTGTGTTAAATTTCTTTTCAAACAAGACGATGTTTAGATGATGAGTAATAGAAAAGTCTAGAATGTATAGGTTTTAGTTCATTCTACTTAGGAGAGGAAATAGTTAAGGAAAAAAATTTATCAATTGTTTAGAAAAATATACGCTCTGTTGGAATTTTTAATATTCTCGTTATTAGTTGTGAATATTTTTTCCTTGACTGGTATTTCTTGTTTCAGTAAATTCTTAAAGAAATTTTTGATTAATGGAAATGTGGTCTGCAGTATCTATTAAATGAATTTTAGACTCTTTGACGATCAAACCATATTTTTGATGTTTGTCTTATCTCTTCTCTTTTTAATATATTATTCTTCAAAATATGCTTTGATGGAGTTTGTCTTCGAAAGGGAAAAGCTGTTTTTCCTTTAAAATCACAAACAAAACTTCACTTTTACATATAAGCAATCTGTTCCGGTCAACTATTAAAGATGGTAGTTATCCACAACAGAAAATTTCCAATGAGAAAAGGAGAAGGCAGGAAAATTTCGGGAAATAAAAAATCACTTTGCTCCACCTTCTAATATTATGCACTGCTAGATTAGTTTGAGTTTTCAAACATTGATTTTTCGAGACACCAAAATCTTGGTGGTCGAACAATTCGTCGCAGGTGTGTGAGTCTCAGTGAAGATACACAACAATCTGCATCCACGCCCACCCAAAATGCAAGTTCTTAATGTTTATCAGTTTTTTTGTAATATATTAATTATTACTTACAATATATTTGTTAGCAAAATCAACCTATAAAATGAAAGATTTAATTAAAATCTAGAAAAAAAATCATGATATTTACTTGTAAAAGACCAACTATATCTTCAATAGTTTTATTTTTCGTTATATGAATTTTACATAATGGTTCTTTAGATTCTGACCATTTCGGTAAACAACTATCTGGTAATTGGTAACGTCGGAAAGAAATAACACCATTCGGTACTAAAAATAATAGAAAAAAATATATAAAAAAGCTATGATAAACAACAATATATTTAATTACTCTTCTCAGTAATACGATAAAAATAATGAAAAATACATTTCAGTTTTTCAATTTTCCATGTAGATCCACCTGTTCTACCACCTTGAAATAATCTTTAATGAATTAAAATACAAAACACATATCAAATAAATACAATTAAAAAATAAGGAAATTTTTTACGTATTAAAATTTGGATTCTGATAATTCTCATATTCACTGCCTACTTTCTGATTAAAACGTCGAGGAAATAAACAAAAAAATGCACAAGCTAATAATGAAGCTGCTTGTTTTTGTGACATTGTTACTGTACGATTGGATCCAATGCGTAATAATGGTGGTGGCTAAGACAACAATTAAATTTAATATTTTGAATTAAAAAACATAGATTCATACTCGACTACAAATTTTATCCACATTTAATGCCAAACTACAAATATTCGATAAAACAGTTGACATAAAACGAGCACGTTCATCAGCTGAATAAACCTTGATTCGAATTATTTTTGATAACAATTTTGTTTAAATAAACAGTTCAAAATTTACCTCATTAAGAAGTCGTTCAAGACAATTGAATTCATATTTTCGTCCAGCACATTCTTCGATAGTTTCCTAATATAAATAATTTAAATTTATAAAATAAGAAAAAAACCTGTTTTTACTTTGATATCTTCCATTGTTGCCATGTGGGTTTCTGCTAAATGTTGAAGTTTAGTTAATGATCCTTGAATTATTGACCATCGCTGCGTACCATTTTTCTGTAAAACAAAAAATATTTTCTTTTTGTCTGAAAAAAAAAGAATTTCCTTTTGAAAATTTACAGTGATATAAAATTGTGAACAAGGTAAACGAACATTATCTTGATCCCATTCATCAACATAAGTGCCATTCTCATATAATGGTTCAGGTTCACGATCAGGATCAGTTGGATCGTATTTAAATGGCTAATTAAGATTATATATTATTAATAATACATGATGCAAAAGTTCTGCATTAATTTTGTTGTCACTATAGCTTGACAATAACTCTTCGCGGAGATTTGATAGTTCTATCAGTAATAAGAAGTGTATTTAGTTGATTTGATATATGAGTATAACTTGTACGATGTGAGTGTTTTTGTATACGAGCTCTAATGAAGTTTTTCTCTTCATGACTAGTATTATGTTTAATACAATGTGCTGCTATAGAGAACTCGTTAAACTCTAATTGAATAAAATTATAGTGTTTCACTAACTTCGATTTCCTACTAGTTTTCCTGGCCTTGAGACATTTTGGGTGTCCGTCTTGAAGATTTATTATTATATTTTTTAATTCACTAATAATTCGTCTATTCTGCACATTCATGTGTTCGACAACTTTGTTCTTCATGAAAAAACACTAGAATTAGTTTTACTATCAAAATTATAACAGTAAATATTGAAATGATATACTCTCAAGAGTTTTTGAGTTAACTTCTAGAACACATGAGAGTGATACAAAATCCGATACAATACAGAAAACAAGAGGAACTTTCATAGTGATCGTAGATTTTCTTCAATGGAGAGAATTTTTCCGAACAAACGTGTTCCCAGAACCTTTTAGCTTTCGGTAAATATTTTGAACAGAATATTTTCATCTAATTTTCTAGTAGAAACCTTGCTTTTCATCACAAGATAAATATCAAGTCTCCGTGACGAGTTGCTGTCATACTATATTGAAAATAAAATTAATGCAGAACTTTTGCATTACTCGTTATTATATTCATAATAAATACTTTTATTAGAAATATATGATTACGATCACGAATATCTTTCATATCAGATATAGTTGGTGGTTGTTGACATATATTTGGAATTTCTGATAGTGGAACTCCCTAAAAAAATTACTATATTAAATATTTTGAAAAACAAAATCCAAAAATTACTTGAAACGTTCCATCATCTTCTTCATCTACCTTATCAATATCAAAACCTAAAAGCATAAAAGAAAAATATTAGTTTAATAAATAATTAAGATTTCTACGAAGGGTTACTATCATTTGTCTGTTGTGATGATGGTTCTTCTTGAGAACCTTCATTTTCATGATATTTTCCTTCAAGACTATCTTCATCATAGCTAAAGGAACACAAAAAAATATAATGATTAATGTAAATGAAAGTTTTATTGTGTTGAAAACTAGATAACTATTATCGGATCCGCACATATCAAAGATGTTCACCCATTGATCCTCGCACGAATTGGATCATTGACAGGTCATAACTGTGCAAATTAAACATTTGCATGTATTACGAATGCACAGACCTGCTTTATGATTTTACACATAATTCATGGTACTCTCTTGTCACGTATAGTTACGTTCACTATTCGTTCTAATTCTTTGTGCCTCTATTATTTTTGAAATTTAATTCTATCGACAAACATCTCAGTTTCACACATTGTAAAAACCCAGAAGTGTCTCAATAAACTGAAGAATTTATATCAACGATATCATTGATCCGAACTCAGAACTGCATTTTTTTTCGTTCTTAGATCTATTCATGATTTACGATAGGAATATTATGCACCAACAAAAGTCTAAGGATTAGAGAATGTGAAACACTAAACAATAATGAAGCATCACACAAAAAGCTGTCAGCTAGGATCCATCACTTGTACCCCAAGACAACAAGGAAGGTTCACGAAACATTAATCTGGGCAAAAAAAGTTACTCATTCTGATCTCTAGTTTTAAGAAGTTGAGTTTAACAAATAATGCTTCATAATCGAGTCAACTTTTTGCAAAAATGTGATTGTTGATTTGTGTTTTCTGTTGCTTTCTTGATTAATCTTTGCATAAAACAAATACTCTTCAAAATCTTGGCTATTTTTAATATATGATTTAAGGGTCAATACATATTTTATTTTTTGTTTACTCACTTGTTTAATTGAGGTGATGGTTCATCGTTGTATGTATCTTGCAACAAAAACAAATATAATATGAAGATATATAGATATGCTCATCAAAACAATTATAATATACTTTTATTAACATCGTCTATATCTTCCTCGAATTCATCATTATACGATCGGGCAACAGATCTTATATAAAGAATTAGAAAAACTTTACTTTGATATTATTACAATTCTTACTCATCATTTTTATCGTTAGTGCTTCCCATTGAGACATCTGTATTTTTCGTGCGTTTTCCAGTATTTTTCGTTGCAGTTTCGGCTGAAAAAAAAACAAAATAAAATACTACAAATATTCAAATTTTAATTGAAAAATATCTGGTACTATTGAAAGAATTAGCAAGTTCAATACATCTTTTATGACTGGTTGATGTCATAGTCGTTCTTTGTTCATTTCGATCATTTTTATTTGAATTTTTTTCCATAGTAATTGTCGAATCACTCATGATTTTCAAAGAATCTTTTCTTTTTGTATAGAACAATTTTGTTTTTGTATCTTGATTTTGATTGCTTTGTGGTTATGCAATAACGTTATACTTTGTCATACCGAGAGGGCACCAGATGGCAGATCGAATATTAATGAAAGCTTGCATGTGAGTCACATAGATAAATATATATGCAGGATGATGATGAACGTGGGGCAGAGCTCTAACCGGCAACGATAAACGTCCGGTCAATTCTTTTTCAAAAATGTTAATCATAAAAGTGTTTTTTTTTCCATAAATCAAATACTTTTTTATTGATGTCGAAAATTAGTTCTGTATGGAAGCATTCATCAGTGTTCTCATGGGCGGCGGAACGATTTTAACTTAGAGAAGGGTCAAAATTTTTTTCCTAGGCAATGATGAGAGATAGAACAAAAAAGGAACCATTTTCTACTTTTTATAATGTTCGCTATTTTTTAAACGCATTGTTGGATTTATTCATGTCAAAATTTGAACCATAGTGGAAAATTTTACGGCAACGCTAACTTTTCTATTGGATAATTAGCATGTACATAAAAATCTTACACCTAATCTAATGTGAATATAGCAAGGCAGAGCTAAAAGCACTTCTCACGACCGAAAATGATTTCATGCTGTTTTCTTTTGAACGAACCATTGCAGCTATTCTTCTATTCCACGTAAATTAAATTTTCTTCATATGAAGGATATCGATATGACCAAAAGTGATCAGCGAATAAAATGTGCCAAAAGTCATTGTGACTTATTAAATGCATTTCAATGCACTATTATTCAAGCTGAATCTAATATTTTATATTTCAAATGGGAGCCTAGGAACACTTTGTTCTTAAAGATCAAGTTAATCAACAACGTAGCAAAAGCAGGATTTGTAGCTACAAAAAGAAAAACATTAGGCTTTTTCTATGTCAAAAACAATACAGTGTTACTTTCTATATCTACTAGAACTTTGTTCATCATTGTGCACTTCAGATCATTTAGATCTTTCAGTATTGCTTGACAGCCATTTTCTGACACATTTTGAAAAGAACCAATAACTGATGCATTTTCCCTCAGTAGGTCGTTCGTGCCTCTTCGAAAACCATTAAGGCCGTGAAAAGTGTGCGTTGGACTATTTAACAACACATGTTATCATTAATATTGGCTTTCTTGCTCCTTTTTCTCGAGAATATATCAGGATGAGTATTTGTAAAGTCATGAGGATAGATTTGAATGATTTGAAGTTCCTGGTAACGATTGAAATTCTAATAGATATCGAAAAAACGCTTCGTATCGTTTTTCACATAGAGAAAAGTCTCATTTTATTCTTTTTTGTATTCGCAAATTCCACTTTTGCTACTTTGTTGTTGAAACGGGTCTTTAATAATACAGACATGTTAGTCTCTTCTTTCAAATAAAATAAGTTTTGTGTTAAGCTTCATTGCTACAGGAGTTACATGTATTTTCAATAGTAACCTTTGGCACATTCTGTATGTTCGTTATGTGTTATAAACAGGGAGTTTTAATGCGGTCAGTTAAATTAGTTGATAACATATTCACACTAACTACGTGAATATTAGTGATTATACTCATTTTTTTTTCTTGTTCTTTTAAGAAAGACATGCTTCGACGCTATTTAGTAAAGATTTTGTCTGCCAAAAGATTCATGTTCATCTATTATTTCAAAATTTTTTGTAAAACTGAAACAGAGATAAATGTTTGTGATCCGAAAGTTATAGAGGCACTGCAAATATAGTGATACACATGGACTATCTAACATTTGACCTGGGTGTACCATTCAAAAAACACGAGACAACCTTTGTTCAAAGAGTTCTCGCTAATAAGACGTAAACTTGCGATTATATCTTTAAAATATTTTTTAGTATTGAGCCTCCCCAAGCCTCCCCTATATTTTTCTACGGGAGGCCCGAGCCTTCCCAAGCCTAATGGCTCCGCCGCCCATGAGTGTTCTATAACGTAAAAATTCATCGTGATATACTTAATGCGTTGTATCCATTCACTGTGATACCTAATTACGCTACTGAAATATGTACGAAAAGTTGTGCCCTTACATTTTAATAATTCTGATTGAAATATTAATATATCAATTGCATATCAAGAAAACAGCTGGCTTTCCTTTCAAACTATTCGTTATAAGAGCTTTGAACAGACTTATGATTAAATGAAACATTAAAATAGTCGTTGCTAGAAAGTTCATATGTCAACTTTCCAGAATATATATCAAAATAAATTTCTTTTTTATTTTGATTGATTAAAATAAAAATAAAATCTTTCTTATAAGAGATACTGATCGTTCAAGCATGATCACAGTAAAGCTCTGAAAAATTACTATTGGGTTGGCAAGAAAGTTTTGCGTCTTTTTTTTTACTAAACAACAAAATTTATTTTTCAACAGAACAAAACAACCTCAATCAATAATATATTCGCCGTTATTATCAATAACAGTGGCCCATCTTTTCGGCAGTTGGTAGATCCCGTTTTTATAAAAGTCTGGCTCTTTTGAGTCAAAAAAAGCGGCGAGGTCAGAATTGAGAGTGTCGTAGTCTTCAAAGCGTTTCTCAGCTAGATGGTTCCGAAGAGAGCAGAATAGATGGTAATCCGATGGCGCCAGGTCTGGGAAAAATGATGGATGAGGAAGGACTTCCCAGCCAAACTTCTGAATTTTTTCTCGCGTTATCTTCGCAACGTGTGGCCGGGCGTTGTCGTGAAGCAAAATCACTCCCTTTCCATTGATCAGCGTTGGACGTTTTTCAAGCAGTGCTTCCTGGACACGCAGTAGTTGATGAGCGTAGACCTCGACGGTGATGGTAGCGTTGTCGAGAAGCTCGTAGTAAAGTACCCCCTTCAGGTCCCACCAGATACACAAGAGAACCTTCTTTGGATGAAGATCCGCTTTGACATCCGGCAACGGCTTCTGCCCCGGGATCAACCACTGTTTCTTGCGGCCGATGTTAATGTAGAGGACTCACTTCTGATCTTCGGTGACAATCCGCTCAAGAAAAGAGCTTTTTTGGTGACGGAAGAGAAGCGAAACGCAAGCTGAAACTCGCTGAACCTTGTCATTGGCGGACAGTTCGTGTGGCACCCAACTTCCATACTTTTGAATCTTGCCAAGCACATGAAGATGATTTTCGACTGTGGTGTGTGAACAGCCTAGCTGCTTCGCAAGTTCACGTGTGGTCTGCCGGGGGTTCGTCTCAAGCAAGCTTTCCAAGACGTCGTCATTGACGATCGAAGGGCGTCCCTCACGTGGTTGGTCCGTCAAGGTCCTGTTGATGGAACGAAATCTGGCGTACTAGCGATCACAAGTGGATTTGGTAGTGGAGTCGTCGCTGTACACCTCACAGATTTCTTTTGCTGCTGCCGCTCCTGAGAGTCCTCGGTCGAATTCAAACAACATACACTGTCGAATGTGAAGCTTTTGTGCATCTATATAATTCAAAGCAAATGGTGTCACGTCTTCAGGCCGAGTCCGATGTGAAACAGAAATCATGAGTTGTGGAGCTTGTTTATTGACACGTGGAAACTAACGATCTGACTGTACAACTGAGAAAAGAATGAACGAGTAACAGGGAACAGCCTATATATATAGTGTTGAAAATAGAACATTCCAGAACATTACGCAAGAACCCATCCATGAAAGAGGAATAGAAACCATAGAAAGTTCCAGAATGTACTCCAACACTGAACAAGTAGTAGTCAAGTGACCTCATACCCACGTGACCTCATGTTCATATGACATCATAGTCATTACATCACAAATTGTAATAGGAATAGTATGAAACCCAACGAAAAGAATAAAACAACTACTCATGAGACAATATTCTTTCCATTGGCACTTAAATCAAGTCGATAGCTTATGAAATTAAAAAGTTACAGCAATGTGTTAAGATAATAAAAAAGACGCAAAACTTTCTTGCCAACCCAATAATTAAAAATATGGAAATCGAAAAAAGGTTGTTTTTAACTTTATTTCGCGTTTTTCTCAAGATCGATTTGTTTACAAAAAAATTGAAGCTCTCCCCCTTTTTCTTCCAGACGCTTCGACCGATTGAGCTGAAATTTTTTATGTGGCAATTAGAACCGAATCTGGGTGTGTATGTTTTTTCTTTTCTTGAAATAATGCTTTGATGCTTTTTCGAAGATCGTACAAAATTTGTCCTAGGGAGAAAAAACACGTTTTGTGATAGGACTTTCAGTATCTCAGTTCTTCTAAACGAAGAAAATATTTTTCAAAGAAAAAAAATATATATATACACCGCAATTAAGTCCCACTTGCTAGAAAAAAATTTAGCCATAAATAATGAGTTTTTGCTGTTTGCAAGGAAGATAATCTCAGGCCATTTTTGGCACCCGCCCTCTCTATATCTAATAGAAGAAAGCATCTGGGAATTTTGAATCTATGACAATTTTTACTCTACTAGTTGAAATGTCGCAACGCTGAAAACTTCATAACTTTTGGTCGAGCCGTTCCTGACAAACTCGGAAAACGGGGAGGAGTGCTCTTAAGTAAGATGGAATAGCAGAATGAGACACAACTCTAGAAGAAGCCGAATATCATCTGAAATAAGAGGATGCCGGGAGCCGTGTAGCTGAACTGTGATGATAATCGAGACTTATACGAAAACTGAGGTCCTCCATAAAGCTGACTTATGGACGGAAACGATCTGTTAACTAATACTAATACTGAGATAGAGCACTGAACCAGGGTGCCGAGATTAGATCGAAACCAGCAGCAGAACACGGACTGATCTGGGATGCAATGTTAAAAGTGACTATATCCGCTCATTTGTCGAAGAGAAGTTTGCGGTTTGGTTTCAAGAAGATCATGTTATTGACCGACAATTATAGTTAATGAGGTCTTGAAATTTCGTTGTTCGTTGACGCTAAAGGAGAAAAAACCAAGCGAATGCGTTACATCAAGCACATTTTCACTAACAATCGATTCATTGTGTATCGCTTCATTTAAGCTGCTCAAATGGCCT